GAGGTAGAGAGCACCTGCCCAGTATGCCCAAAGCCCTGAGTAGTTCAACCAGAGTACAACCCCCCCACAACCCCCAAAAAGTCTTAAGGGCCGGGTGTGGGTGGGTGGTCAGTAATTAGAGCACTTTGCCTGGTGTGAGATCCAGGTTCATCCTCACCATCACAAAAAATGAAATGAAGCAACACCAATTGGCTACCACTGTAATCCCAGCAGAGATAGAACTCTGCTGGGATTGAGACCATTATGAGACCCCAATATTAACCAATAAGCTGGTGTGGTGATAAGTATCTGTCATCCCAGATACTTGGGACCCATAAAGTTTAAGATCACAGTGCAGGCAGGCCCGGGCAAAAAATGTTTACCCTATTTGCAAAATAAAGTAAGGGCTAGGTGTAGCTCAAGTAGTACAGCCATGCAGAGCACAAAGCCATGAGTTCAACCCCCACTATCACCAAAAATAAATCAGAAACTTAAAAACTTATTCAGCTTCTCTCCCTCTCCCCTCCACTTACTGAGCTGTGCTCATTAGTAAGCGCTCACCTGGCAGCCAGCACTCCATCATCATCACTGGCCAGCCATCATTCCTTCTAAGAACACTGCACAGCACACCCATGTAGTAAATATTAAGTGAACCTACCAGCCACTGGACTGGGCTGCTTATTTCCTTATTACTGATATCCACACTTCTTTTTTTCCAAAAGAGGATTCTCACAAAATTGTCAAGGCTGGCTCAAGAGATCCTCCTGCCTCAGTCTCCTGAGTAGCTGGGCCTACAGGTATACATGGCTTAAGACTTTTTAAATGAATTATCAACACAACAAAGACTAACCAACAAAAACCCTAAATGTATCACTCAGAAGCAAAACTAACTTGCAACATTTTATTCTTTAAAACCACACACAGCGCTGGAGCAGTGGCTCAAGTAGTAGAGCTCCTTCCTAACAAGCCTGGAGCCAGGAGTTTAAACCAGGGCAAGGGCAAAAAAAAAAAAAAAAAGAAAGAAAGAAAAAACACACACATAAAATATTTCAAAGCCAAGTGGCAGAAAAGCAAGTCCCTGGAAGTTTACTGAATCCCCAAATACCACTTTACCCCTAAGCTTGCACCACAATCCTCATGAAAATAAAACAGCTGTTTGCATATTCAAGAAAAATTGTCATGAACTTCAAAATATCAATAGAATCACTTTCCACTAATTACTTAAAATCACAAACATAATCAGCAGTTAATTTAAACGCTTGATACATGCGTTGACTTTGTAACTAAATGATCCCTGGTGATCCTATATGGTCCTTAGGAAAATAACCATTACACTTTCCTTTTGAAATGAGTATAAGCTGGGCTGGAGGGATGGCTCATAAGCACAAAGCCCTGAGTTCAAATCCCAGTCCCACAAAAACATAAACAATTAAAAAAAAATAAATGAGTAACATTTTAGGGGCTGGGTGAGTAGTTCAATGGTAAAGAGCTTGATCCACAAGACCCTGGGTTCCATCCTCCCCAAACAAAAAACTTGTATTTTCACTGTCTTCATTACACAGCCATTTAATGAAAAGTAGAAAAAAAATTTTCATTGGGGCACGGGGTGGTTCATGCCTGTAATTCTAGCTACTTGGGAGGCTGAGTTCAAAAGATCACAGTTCAAGGCCAGCACAGGGCAGGGAGTTCAAGAGATACCAATTCAACCAATAGCTGCGCACACACCTGTAATTCCAGAGATGGAATGGCAGTTTAAAATAGGACTAGTGACCAGAAAGCCTAGGCATAAAGCAAGACCCTAGCTCCAAAATTATCAGCGCAGAAAGGATTGGGGGGAGGGAGGTGGCTCAAGCAGTAAAATGCCTATCTAGCAAACATAAGGCCCTGAGTTCAAATCCCAGTACTGCCCAAAAAAATAAATTCAACTACACATCACTTTCACAAGACACGAAAAGTAGCAAATAGTTAACGTGTTTGAATTTGCAATGCCTCTTTACAATGTGTAATGTGTTGTCTTAGAACAATCAATCTCACAAGGAGTTAACAAATCGTAAGCAATTTTTGGAAGTCTGTACACTGACGAGGCTCCCCCTCACAAACCTGCTTACCTACCTTCATTATCATCTCACACCGACTTGCCCTAAATGAAGCAAGAGGTAACCTGTTTATCTGAGATACAACTACCCAATGCTGCAGCAAGAACCTGAAGTCCACTTCATACCTCTAAATGGGTGGACTCCAGTCAAACCTCCGTCTGCTGATTCCAAACAACTGGACACAGTAATCGAATCCTTCTCTCCCAGGACTTTGCTGGGATAAATTTAGCACCCAGTATACAACACCTAGAAAATCCTAATTCTTTCAAAGTTTCAATCAAAGCAAGACTCAAAAGGTGACACAGGGTGTGGTAGCACAGACACCCCAGGCACTGGGGAACTAAAGGTTGAGGATCTCCAGTTAGAGGTCAGCCTGGGCTACACAGCAAGACCCAGACTCAAGAAGAAAAAAATACAAGGTCGCAAATTTGTGAGCCGTACATGCTAAAACTACCTGGTGATACTATCCACCTTTCAAAACTGCACAAGGTGAATTAACCTGCTGACAAAATGTAGCAGGATGGCAAGTCCAAGAGGTATAAACCCAAGTTCTCTCTGGTCATGGAAAGTGTTAGAAGGAATGGAAAAGAAGGATGTATGAGTAAGAGGGAGCGGCCTCATTCCAAAGAAAACATCCAAAGCCTTTTTCCCAAGAACATTTCTAAGTCCCAAGAGTTAGAAAAGAGCTGATATGTGGCTCACATGATAGGAAGGCCTGCCTACCAAGGGCCAAGGCCCTGAGTTCAAACTCCAGTATCACACTCCCTTCAAAAAGAAAGAGTTAGAAATAAGATGTTGCTTACTGCTTACCCAAAGGAACGGAAACGTCTTCCCTAGCACTAGCTCCTCCTGACCCAAACTGCAGGCTTACCCAAGGAGCTAGAAAAAGTCAGGTGTGGTGATGAACACCTGCAATCCCAGCACTCAGGAGGCAAAGGCAGGAGGATGCAGAGACAAGAGGATCCAGAGTTAGAGACAAGCCAAGCTAACATACTGGGACAATGTCACAAATAGGAAAAAGAGCATTATCTCCCAAGTCAAAATCTTAGCAACTACTGTTGTCAACCTGGTATTTGACAGGAAGAATTTAAGAACAATAAAGAGCCTTAGATTCCTCCCTCTCAGGAATATGAGAAAAGAGCCAAAGTAACTTTTGCCTAGACAAATTCCATAAGGACAAACAAAAAGTGCAAACAGTCAGGCACTTCTCAGCTATAGAAAGAGGGTGACCCCCAGGCTGGTCCAGGCTCCCAGAAGGTAGGAGACTGATACATCAGTGGCTGGTGCTGGCAAGGAGAAGCCTCCAGACAAGACTTGGGCCTCACACGGATTCCATTCATAAATCCCAGAGACTATACACCTGGCCAGGAGGCAGCTCAGGGTAAAGGCTGGGCTCTACTGGGAAAAGGGCATTAGCACTTGCCAGTGTCTTGAGAAGTTTCCCCTGCTCCCCGCCACTGTGAATGAGGCTCTGGTTCCCACACTTCATTCACAGTCCGAGTGGCTGCAACAGCTATATCCCAGGAGACCACACACAAAGCATAGCGGCAGCACTGTGAGCAGTTCCCAACCACAAATACCTGAGGAAAAAGAGGGCTGCAAGTCTTAATTTTGACTGGGTAGGTAGCTCAAGAGGTAAAGCACAAGCTCCAGACCCTGAGTTCAATCCCCAGCACAAACATCCCACCCTCCCAAAAAAGTCCTAAATTAGATCCCTAACTTAGGAAGGCATCTCTTGCCATCCTGCTATCAGTTTGCTAGTGAACCCCAAATAAGCTCATTTTTAAAGAAAGCAGAATCATGAACAACCAAAAAGCCAGATTCAGAACTGCTGAAATACCTGAGTTCAGAAAAGGTGGCTGATGACCGACTGCTGACTTCCTTGCCAGTCCCTGTTCCCTAAACAGCAACTTGATTTTGTAAATACTGAGAAGAAAAGGCTTTACTCTCCCCACGTGTGGGGACTGAACAGGGAGAAAACCTGCAGATGGTCCCACACCCGCAATAAGTCGCCCTGACGGAGAACAAACGCGAACAGAACCTCGAGTACCCTCAAAAACTCCACCATCCAACCACATTAAGAAATAAAAAAGGGCTTAGCACCAACGTTATGGTCCCAATCTTGCAGAGTACAGTGCACCCAAATATCACATCCCAAACCCATTTTGGAAGAGGATGAAACTTGGGAAACGTTCAACATCAATGAAAACCACCTGACTTTAAAAAATGGCAACTTGAAACCCTCCCAATTCTAGGTCTTGATCCGGGGGAAGCCTATGAACCAGAGCAATACGAACCCACAAAGGCATCCTCTGCAATACGCCTGCCTAGAAAAAGGGGTTCCAGAGAGGGGGTCCTGCTCTCCGCGCTGTGAGGACAAAGGAGGCGATGTTTCCCGCCTTGGGATACCGGGACCCTCCTGGATCCCAGGGAGGCAACGGAACAAAGAAAAAGAGAGTAAGGAAAAGGGTCGCTCCTGCAGCGCCCGCGGGGATGCTCTGGACCGGAGGGGGTGTGTGCTCCCGGCACGTGCGCGCGTGCGCGGGACGCAGCAACAGACAAAGCCGGGCCCCGAGGAGGCGGCGGCTGGGGACCCGGTGCGCGCGCACCCCCCCACCCCACCCCCCCGCGCGAGGCGCCGCCGTCGGCCGAGGGGCCACGAAAGGGGGGGAGCGGATGCGCGCGCACCGGGCCCTCGTCGCCGCCATTTTGTTTCCGCGGCACAATGGGGGAGAGTAACGGCTAAGCGCGGGAGTGAAGGCAGCGAAGAAGGCGTGAGGCCCAAGGGGAGAAGGGCCCAAGCGCAGAGAACGGGGAAGAAGCGACGCCAGGCTTGCCACCTTGACTCCTCAAACGGAACCACGCTGAGATGAACAAACGGGGGAGGGGCTGAGGCGGGAGCGGGCCCGCCACATTGAAGCTTACCTTCTTGGCAACCCCTTCCCCGACCGCAGCCGTTGCCGTCGCCCTCCTGCCACAGCCCACCCGGGTCTCCCCCCAAAAGCCACGCGGCTCACGCCGGGCTGCCGAATCCAACTGCAATGGCGAGAAGAGGAGGAGGAGCCGGGGCCGGGGGCGAGCGGGCGGCCGGGCGCGCGCCAGGGAGGTGCGGGAGCACGTGACCAGCCGGAGCCCCGCCCCCTCGCCTTCGCGTTGCCGCTCGACGCAAGGATGGCTGGAGTAGAGAGGAGGGGCGAAAAGCGATAAAGGGGCGGAATCCTGATCACGTGTCAGGAACGTAAGAGCTGTGTGGCTGGTCACGTGGTGTCGTTATTTGTTCCTCCCCTTTGCACGGCTTTGCTTTGTCATGTGACAATGGCCAATAGGCAAGGCCTCCTTTGTCATGTGAGAGGGCTCTTTCCGCTTTCTCTTTTCTATTGGTAGAGCTATGTCACGTGATGAGGTCTGGCTCTTTTTTTTCAATGGTGGTTTTGGTCGACTTTTTACCACGTGAGGTAGCTAAGAGGCGGTGCCGTCAGGCAGCTGCGAGTTTTTACGACTGCGCGGGCGCCATTTTACGCCCGTTGCCGTGAGTACGTTGACGGAAACGACTCTGCGTTTGGCACGTGCGTCAGGCTTAAATGAGGGACTCTCCTTGCTGTGCAAGGGATGGTGATGGTTGCTGCTCTCCCCTAATTTCTATCGAGACGGAGAACACCAGAAGTGTGTGCGAGAGATTGCTAGGCTGAGCCCCTCCTTGCTGAGCTCAAACCTGAGACCGGCCTTGGTGAGCGCTCCAGTGTTTTAGTTCGGAGAACATTACTTGGTGTAGCGCCGGTCCAGCCTCCCCAGCTCAGCGCCTCTGCGGAGACTGGTCGGGATCCCCAAGCCTTTAAACTGTCAAAGAGGCCCAGACGGGAAAAAAAGGCCTCACTAGACGGTTCCCGTCTGGTTCGTGGGCTGGGTTTTGAGACGCTCGGGCTCATAAGTAAAACATGGAGTGACTGCCATATACGCATGGTGTCGCTGAATCCTCCCAGGAGCATCATGAAGTCTTCCATGTGCTTAACCTAAGTCCTGGGGTCTGGGTGGCGCCCAACAAGTGTAGTTGACAGGTGAGTTTGACAGGAGCCAGGCTGTTGTTTAGGGGCTGGAGATGTACCTCAGTAGTAGATTACTTGACTAGTTTGCGCCCCCCCCCCCCGCCAAATTGGCAGGATTTAGAGCAAGAGGAGGAGTTGTTGAAAATAAAGCTAAAGAAGATGAGGCGGCGTTCAAGACTTTAGAGCAAGGGGGAAGGAATGGAGGGGTAAACTCAACAAGTTATTACATTGTAAGAACTTGTGTAAACTTCACAGTGTAGCCCCAGTAGAACAATACTAAATAAGTAAGTAAAAAGAGCAGCCCGAATTCTAACAACAAAAAAGGATAAGTTGTTTTTTAAAGTCTTTTGACTTAGAGCAGCCCGCAGGGCACCGGTGGCTCACGCCTGTAATCCTAACTACTCAGGAGGCAGAGATCATCAGGATCAGGGTTCAAAGCCAGCCCAGGCAAATAGTCCGCGAAACCTTATCTCGAAAAAAAACCATCACAAAAAAGGGCTGGTGGAGCGGCTCAAGGTGTTAGCCTTGAGTTCAAACCTCAGTACCGCAAAAAAAAAAAAAAAAGACAAGAGCCGGCGGTGTGGCTAGCGAGGACACTGGAGACTCTGAGTTCAAACCCAAGTGCCGCCAAAAGACAGCAGAAACAAGCCCGATAGTTTAATAAAATCATCCTTGCAAAAACCAACGGACAAAGCAGTGTGTTTAAGGATCTCAGACCCAGTGCCTAGGCTGGAGGCGTGGCTTGCTCGTGGGGGCGTGGCTCAGGTGATGGCGCGCTTACCTAGGAAGCCCAAGGCCAGGCATTCACTCCCTGTGCGGCCTGTCCTGGGTTTGAGACTCCTGTGTGACCTGGAACAGTGCAACTTTTTGTTTTGGTCTTAACATTTTTGCGCGGAATAAATGCACCAACATGAGAGCTATTATGAAGAGGTAAGGTGTAAAAATACCAATAGGGTGAACATGCTATACCTGCATCTTTTCTGATTTATTTATTTATTTGAATTTTAAATTTACTTATGTTTTTTTGTGTTTCTGAGACGGCAGCTTGTTGGTGGTACTGGGGTTTGAAGCCGGCCTTATGCTTGCTAGGCAGGCACTCCACCACTTGAACCACTCTGCCAGCCTTGTCTTGTGTTGGATCCATCTTCAAGATGGGGTCTCACGAATTATTTGCTCCAGCTAACTTTGAACGTTAATCCTCCTGATCTCAACCTCCCAAGTAGCTAGGATTATAGGCATGAACCACCAATACCCAGCTAGGATTTTTAACATTCATGGGCTGGCTAGAGCACCTGACTAGCAAGCATGAGGCCTTGAGTTCAAACCCTCCAGTGCTCCCCCGCAATAAAGAAATCAAATATATTCACACTGTACAGGATGTCAAATGTAGCCGGGTTTTGTGGCTCAAGCCTGTAATCCTAGCTCCACAGGAGATTGGAAGGATGGAAGTTCAGGCCAGTCCAGGGAAGGAAAAAGTTCTTGAGAACTCCATCTCAACCAATGGCTGGGTGCACTAGTGCACACATGTCATCCCAGCTATGTGGGAAAACAAGTAGAATTGCTATCTAGGCCACCATAGGGGGAGCCCTATGAGCAACATAACCAACCCCAAAAGGCCTAAGGGTGTGCTTCAAGTGGTGGAGCACCTGGCTAGCAATTGCGAATTCCTAAGTTCAAACCCCAGTATTGAAAAAAAAAGTCAAATGTGCAGCAAGATATTAAAAAGTGATCTTCCCTTAGGTAGGCATCAGGGGCCCCTCTCTCTTGACAGCCATTCTAAAAGTAAAAGTTCTTTGTGTCTACAAGGATGTATTGTTGCTTTTCAAGTAAATAATAGCTGTATGCATTACCATCTGGCTTTTACTCACTGCTGTGTCTCAGAACTCTCTCATAAAGAATTTGAGATTAAAGAAAAGTTTGGTTACATGAATGGTGCATGTGACTCAGCCATCGGTCACTGTGACAAAATACCCAAGAAAGAAAAAAAAGAAAAAATTTATGTTGGCTCATGGTATCAGAGGTTTCAGTCCAAGGTCAGCCGGCTCCATGGCTTTCGGTCTGTAGTGAGGCAGTGTCATGGCAGCAGAAAGATGTGGTAGAGTAGGGCTCCTCACCTAGTGGTGGCCAGGAAGCAAAGAAAAACAGAGAAAGAAGCTGTAGACAAGACAGATTCTGCAAAACCAGGCGCTGGTGGCTCACGCCTGTAAACCTAGCTACTTGGGGGAGCTGAGATAAGGAGGATAGTGTTTCAAAGCCACCCCTGGGCAAATAATCCAGGAGACCACATCTCCAAAATAAACAGATCAATAGATGAGATGTGGTTCAAATGGTAGAGCCCCTACTTTGTAAGCACAAAGTTCTGAATTCAAACCCCAGTCCTACCAAAAAAAAAATAAACTCTTCAAACCCCCCGCCAGCCCTATGATCCACATCCCCCATCAAGCCCCACCTTCTGTGGTTTCCACCCCCTCCCAGGGGTGATGTAATGTATGAGTACATTAAAGAGAGGACCCATGGGTCAAAAGCCCCACCTTTGAACACTGCATTGGGGTGGGAACAAAGCCTCCAACACTGATTGATCGTTTGGGGGCTGCTCCATACCACAACACCCCCAGAGACACCAAAATACTTGGATGCTCCAATTCTTCATATGAAGTTGTCTAGGATTTGCAGATAGAATCAGTGAATGTATCTCCAGATGACTGGTACAGTGTAAGTGCTGTAGAAGTAGTTGTTAGGCCGTAATGTTTAGAGAGTGACATGGAAAAAGTCTGTACGTGTTTTGTACAGAAGCAATCTTATTTTCAGTGCCAGCTATCTAACCCAGGGCCTACAGCATGCTGGACAAGGTCTCTGCCACTGAGCTACATCTCCAGCCCAGATGCAATGTTTGTTTGTTGGCAGTAATTGTTTTGTTTTATTTAAGGTACTAGAGTTTGAACTCAGAGCCTCCACCTTGAGCCACTCCACCAGCCCTTTTTTGTGAAGGTATTTTCAAGATAGGGTCTGGCAAACTATTTGCCCAGGCTGGGTTTGAACCTCAATCCTCCTGCTGTCTTGTATCCTTAGTATCTGGGATTACAGGATTGAGTCACCAGTGCCCAGCTTGTCTCTTACTAACTTTGATGTCTATGCTCTCACTTTCTGTTACCCAAGAATTCCATTCATCGAACTCATGAGACAGAGAACCAGGCGTGATTCTGTTAGCTAAACTAACAGAGCTGTGATCCTAGTCAGCATGATAGGCCCTGAGCTCACAAAAAAGTGCCTGTTTAAGTAGGGTCTCCCTCCTTTACCTGTGCTGACCTCAAACACACAGTTCTCCTGCCTTCACCTCCCAAGTAGCTGGGGTTCCAGGGGTTGCACCACCATGCCCATTTTGAGATGTTTGTTTTTTGTTTTGTTTTCTGGGGGATTTTCATTAGTTTTTTTTTGTTTTGGTGTTTTTTATGTTTGGTTTTTGGCATGCTAGGAGTCAAACCCAGGGCTTTGTGCATGCTGCATATGTGCGGTACCACTGGCACCAATGTATTGTTGAGTAACAAGAGTAGCTAGGATTACAGACATGAGCCACCAGCACCCATTGCTTTTAGTTATTTTTAAGATACAGTCTCCCTTTATGCCCAGGCTGGTCTGGGCTGCAATCCTCCTTATTTGTACTCCCCCATATCACTGGGATGACAGGTGCATGCTGCCATACCATACCCAACTTTTTATTGGTTGAGTGGGAGTCTCCTGAACTTTTTCCCTGGGCTGACCTGGAACCTTGATTCTTCTGATCTCTGCCTTCTGGGAAGCTAGGATTACAGGCTACCTACTAGTAACAACTGCACTGCACGGGAAATAATTGAAAGTAGAAGAGTGACTGCATAGTGTTCTGTTATTTTAGACCAAAATCATAAGAGCATAAAGAGTCCCCTCTTGATGGGCACCTAGGGTACTACCAGTCTTCTGCAATTTTATAAATGCTATGAGTTCCCCTCTTTTTCAAATAATCTTGTTAGCTGTGGGCTGCCCACAATCCTCACCCATGACTCCTTTGGCGACCTATCCATGCTCTCTGGACCACATTGCAATGCACCTTTGCCTACACATTCCTAAGAATACTTTTTTTTTGTTGTTTTGGGATGGTACTGGGGCCTCACACTTGCCAGGCAGGTGCTCTACCACTTCAGCCACTCCACCAGCCCTGTTTTTTGATGGGTATTTTTAAGATAAGATCTCAAACTGTTTGCCTAGGCTGGCTTCAAACCACAGTCCTCCTGATCTCTCCCTCCTGAGTGGCTAGAATTACAGGCATGAGCCACTGAACTTGACTTCTCGTTCCCAAGGCAGGCAATCTACTGCTTGAGCCACACCTTCCAGTCCTCCAAGAATTCCAAGTGCCTGGGAGTTTAGGTTCCCCTTGAGTAGCTTTTCCTCAAGGACTTTTAAATGCAATGTAGCATAGAGGTGAAATTCACAGGCCACAGTTCAAGAAGGGATCGGGCGACCAGCGCCCTCTTCAGGAAGTTTACTGACATTACGCCCTCACCTGGTTTTTCCCTTCCCTGGTTGTCTTTGGCTCCTGGCTTTCCTTCACATTGCACGTGGAATCAATCATATCAGACGAATCTTCAAATTATTATTTATTTAGGTGGGAATGGGATTTGAACTCAGGGCTTCACACTTGCAAAGCACTTGTTCTTCCACTTGAGCCACACCTCCAGTCCATTTTGCTCTGGTTATTTTGGAGATGAGGTCTCAAAATATTTGCCTGGCTTACCTCAAACCTCAGTCCTCCCTATCTCAGCCTCCCAAGTAGGTAGGATTGCAGGCATCACCATCAGTGCCCTCTAAACTTTTATTTTTGAGACAAGTTCTTGCTATATATATTCCGTGATGGCCTCCAAGTCTTGATCCTCCTGCCTCAGCCTCTGGAGTGCTGGGATTGTAGGCATGCATCACCATGCCTGGCACCGCATCTTCAGTTTATTTATTTCTTTTGTGGTATTGAGGCCTGAACTCAGGACCTACACCTCGAGCCACTTCACCAGCCCTTTCTTGTGATGGGTTTTTTGGAGATAGGGCCTTGTGAACTATTTGCCCAGGCTTACTTTGAACTTTGATACTGCTGGGCTCTGCCTCCCAAGTAGCTGGGATTACAGGTATGAACCACCAGTGCCTGGCTCTTGCCTGTAAGTTAATTAATAAATTTAATTGCATCTGAAGCAGAACATAGTGGTATGCACATGTAGTCCCAGCTACTTGGGAGACTGAGATTGGAGGATCATTTGATCCTCTAGTTCTTGAGTCCAAGAACTAGAAGCCAGCCTAGACTACATAAGGAGGATCCCACACGCACATACACACACACACAAAAATGTGCATCTGTTAAACATGTCCAGACTTTGTTATTTTCTGTACTATACAGAATATCAAGTGTTTACACAGCACTTACATTGTATCAGGCTCTGTGATACCTAGGGTGGATTTCAAGTCTACTGGAGGATGTGTGTAAGTTTTATGCAAATACTGTGCCATTTTGTGGAAGGGACTTGAGCACCCTCAGATTTTGGCATTTATGTGGGGTTCTTGAACCAGTCCCCATTGGTACCAAAGGATGACTGTATGTAATTATAGACTGTGGCAAGTGCTAGGAAGAGAATAAACAAGAAGGCATAGTTGTCATCCAGAGAAACAAACTCTAGATAAGCAGAGAAGGCTTCCTGGAGTAGGTGACCCCCAAGCTGAAAACAGAATGAAGAGACAGCCAGCAGGACCTGTAATCCGACCTCCTCATATGAGGAGGTGGAGGCTGGAGGATGGAGAATTTGTGGCCAATCTAGGCAAAGTTATTGAGACTGTCTCAAAAACAACAAAAAAAATCTACAAAAGGGTTGGGGGTATAGCTCAAGTGGCAGAACAGTTGCCTACCGTGGGCAAGGCCCTTAGTTCAATTCCCAGTACTGCAAAAAAGAAGGAAGGAAGGAGGGAGGGAGGGAGGGAGAGAAGGGAGGGAAGGAAAGAAGGAGAAAAGACATGAGACAGTCATGTAAAGAAGCAGGTGGGGATTATTTCAGGCACAAGTTTTGGGATCTGGGTGGCCAGAGAGAAGGAGCAAGAGGGAGAGTGGGAGGAGAGACAAAGGTCTGAATGTGAGATGGCAGGTGGCACAGGGCTTGTGGGCTCGATGGTGGACTTTGACTTTTGTTCTGAGCGAGCTGGGAGCCATAGAGGGTTCTTAAGCAGAGGAGGGACCACGACCTCATTCCTGTGTTTCCACCTTGTGGGAAACAGTGTGTGTATACATGGAGTGAGAAGGCAGGGAGCAGCTTGGCAGACTGCTCTGGCAGATGTGGCGAGAAGTGGGCAGGGTTAACAGGAGCCCAGGTTAAGGAAAAGATCCGATTTAAAGAATCCAGTTGAGCTGGCAGAGTGGCTTAAGTGGTAGAGCGCCTGTCTAGCAAGTGTGATACCCTGAGTTCAAACCCCAGTGTGGCAAAAAAAAAAATTCAGTTTAACACAGGTGTCCAGAGAGGTATAGATACCAGTACAGGAGACCTAGGTTCAGATGCCTTCTGTGCCCCTTTCCTGCTGAGCAACCTTCAAATCCATCATGAGACCTCTGTTTTCATTTCATCCTTGGCTAAGTGAAGAGGGTAATAGAAGTGGGGTGTTGTGCACAGGAGAGGAAGAAAAGTGGACCCTCTATATCCACAGGTCTAAGTCCAGATTCCACACGTGGGGATTTACTCAACAGCGGGTTGGGGGGAAGGAAACATGTATTTTGTTTTGCAGTACTGTTATAGGAAACTCGAACAGAGAGACAGGACTCTAAGGCAAGGAAGCAACACTTTGTGTTGGAAGTGTCCAAAGGCTGAGCCCTGAGAACAAAGGTGTCTCACCTTATGTACCCTTGCAAGCAGGTTACAGAGGCAATCAAATTAAAACCAAGGTTTAACCCACACATGGTTACATGCAGTTCTATAGGCCACTTCAGCCTAGTGTTAAGCGCCCTTCTACACCTCTTGCTACGTGACCTTCATGTGTGGATTCTTTAGGTCTGATCTCTCTGCTATGCCATCCCCTCCCCCTGCTTCACTATCAGAGCACAAGCCTGTCTGTTTCTCCTCTGGTCTTTCTCCCTGCTATAGTACTTGGGTTTGAACTCAGGACCCAGTGCTTGCTAGGCAAGCGCTATACCGCTTGAGCCATGCCCCCAGTGGAAAATAATTTTTTAAAGGGTGGGGGCTGGGGACATAGCTCAGTGGTGGGCTGTCTGCCTCGCACGTGCAAGGCCCTAGCCGGATGCATCTATCCTGAACTGTACAGACATTTTTCTTTTCATCTTTCCCTACACAGTACAGCAGAACACCTATTCCCGTAGCATTGTACATTTTGTCAAGTCATGAGATGAGAAGGTTTAAAGTCTACAGGAGGATGTGTATAGGTTCTACGCAAATACCAAGCCATCTTATATAAGGTACTTAGACATTTGTGGGTTTTAGTAACAGATGTGGGGAGGGGGGGGGGTCATGGACTCAAACCTGCAAATACCTAGTGAGGACTTTACTCAAAATGCTGGGGAGCGGGGCAGAGGGCAATAGCTCAAGTGGTTGAGTGCCTGCCTAGCAAACAGGAGGGGTTCCATCCTTCCTGAAACGGAGGAAGGAAAAAGAAGAGAAAGGAGGAGGGAAGGAAGAAAGAAAATAAGCCAGGTGATTCGCACCTGTAATCCCAGACTGATTGGGAAAATTGAGGTTCAAGGCCAGCCTGGGCACATAGTTTGAGAGACACCCCCACATCTCCAAAATAACCAGAGCAAAATGGTGTGGAGGGATGGTTCAAGCGGCAGAGTGCCTACCTAGCAAGCGCGAAGCCCTGAGTTCAAACCCAATTCCCACCAAGAAAAAAAAATTCGGTGGATGGGAGCTAGGCTTGGTGGCACACACCTGTAACTCCAGCAAATTGGTTGAGGCACAAGGATCTCCAGATAGAGACCAGCTTGGGCTACATAGTGACATCCGGTCCCAACACCCTCTTCCCCCCAAAAAATATAAATTTCAGGGGAAGAACTCATTGTAGGATGGATGGCCTGGAGGCAATACCAACAGCGGGCACCAGGGGGCAACCTGAGACGCGGGCTGCCGTTTTGCAGATCCAAGACTGCTGGCGCTAGATCGTGGGGCCTCAGGTGAGGGGCCCTGGAAGAAAAGCCTGGGCTAAGTGTCCAGAGCATGTGACTGCGGAGGTGGGCAGAACGTGGCTGCCTGTGGCCTCCAGGGATCACAGCCTAATAAGGGCCATTTGTTCTCCAGGCGCCTTCAGGAGAAACCTGAGCTGCCTGAATGGCAGGATTTGGGGTGGAGATGGAGCCTGCAGACAGCGGGTTTCCTGCCCCTCCTTCTTCCCTTTGGGAAAACCAGGGCAACTTGGAGAATCCCAGTGCACTGCTTCCCCTCCCTGCCTCCTATTCCCCCCACAAACACGCAGGGCCTGGACCTGTACAATAGGCACTTTTATTAGTGGTGGAATGCAGTTACTTACACATAGGGCTTGGTGAACAGGAGGGGGTGGCAGGCACGGGAGACCCCTCTCTCTCTAGGATACTGGAATTGCACTGATAGGCAAAGATATGAAGGGGGGGTAGGGAGAGAGGGCTTGACATGGCAGGCAAAGGGGGTACCAGGCCCCCAAGTTCAACAAGTTTGGCAAAAGGATTCCTAAGGTGTGAGGTGAATGGACAGAGGGGTCCCTGTTAGCCAGAGCATCTGCCCTCCCACCGTGTCTCCTGACATCATCCCTCAGGTGCTGATTTCAAAAAAGGGACCCAATTCACAAACCAGTCAGCCAGCTGCAGTTTTCATTAAAAAGCCATTAGCATCTTCAGCCTGGTGCTTCCGGACCACCCCGCTTCCTTTCCTCCCATCAGGGCCCCCCCAATATCACCTCTCTAGCCAGAAGACTCCCCAGCCTGGGCAAGCATACACTCCTGCCCAGCCACACACCTCCCCGACTGGGAGGGAGACAACTGAAGGCACTCTGGGTACCTCCATTCAGCTGTGGAGGCAGAAGGAAGAAAGCTAATTGACCCTTTAATGCATGTCCAGGTTAAAAAATAATTAAAGAAATGCATTTGACGGCCCTGGGGCCGAGGACTGGGCCATGAAGAAGGGGCTCGGTCCTGGCCCGTGAAGTGAAGGCAGTCAGAGGAGCTTGGAGTTCACTGTGGCCAGGCAGCTGCCTCCTCATCTATAGACACAGTCTGTCCCATTGTCTAAGAGGACAGGAAGCATGGAGGAGCCTGCAGAGGTTGGGCCACCTCCCATCCCAGACACTCCACTGCGTTTGTCTCCATCTGGGCCAGCAAGGGCTGGGTGACTCATTCCATTGCAATCTTTAAAGTGCCTGTGAAAACTCCAAGTGCCCCTTGGCACAGGGAGAAGCCCCAGATCCACCAGGTCCCCAAGAAACTGGTAGTAACGGGATCAGGGGGAGGGGACAAAGAGGCAGTGGCAGGACTTAAAACAAAGTCCAATGAGCCAGCAGGATTCTGACCCAGCCAGTCGCCTGTCCAGCACCCAAGCTCACAACCTTCCTGAGAGGAGAGGCCTCGGAGGAGGCCTGGGCCTCTAGGAATCTGCCAGCTTCTTGTTGGTCTTGTTCAAGAGCTTCTTCAGGGTGGAAGACATGAAGTAAGGCCTTTCTGCAGAGCCGTCATTTCTCTCCAGATCCTCCACTGCAGAGAGAGGCCACAGAGCAAGTGACATGAGAGAGCGCCCACAGGCAGGGGCCTCTGGGGACAGGGTGGGAATGAGAGCCACAGAGAGGTCTCAGTGAGTTAGAAAGCAGGACACACTAGGAGCAGAGGGGGGGCAGAGCGGGACCACGCAATGGATCCCCACACTCCCAGGCCAGGAAGCCCCCTGCATGCACCACCCGGCTCTCCAGAGAGGCCACCTGTACCCCCGACACCAGTGTCCCTCACTTTCTACTCCTCGACTTCCTCCCGCTTGCCCTCCTCCGCACTCCCCTTCAGTAGGATGTCCCTCAGCTCGGGCGACATGAAGTAGGGTCGCTCCTGAGAGCCGTCATTCCTCTCAAGGTCCTCACCTGGGCCCCCCAGGAACCGGCAGGGGGAAAATGGGGTGATCAGGAAAAGAAGGGAAAAAGGGAGGCAGGGGAAGAACAGGGAAGCCAGCAGGCATGGAGGAGAGGGAGAGAAAAGAAAAAAAATAAAAAAGACAGATGGAGAGACCAGAGTTAGTAGCAGCCACAGGTGCCCCCAACAAAGCCAGAGGCCCAGGGGCAGAGTGTTCCAGCTACAGCCTGGGCCAGGGGACCACAGGAGGGTAGAGCAGCCCCGAGTGCAGTGAGGAAGCCAGCAAGGCATGCTGGGGCCCCAGGACAAGGGACAGCCAGGCCCTGGGGAGGTCAGGGGCAAGGGACAAGGGAGTCAGGGCCCCAAAGAGCTGATGTGAAGGGTCACTCACAGAAGCAGAGGAACAGCGTGTCCACACACATGCCATAGACACTGAAGAAGCCATGAGCGATCAAGTAGGAGCCAATGATCACCGTCTGGACAAAGGAAAAAGGGTCTGTTACTGACCCAGCTCCCACCCGGAGCAACCTCCCACCCACCATGACCTTCCCAGGCTGGGATAATGACACTCCTGCCACTGAGCCCTTGTCAGAGTAACATCTCAACACCTCTGCTGGCAGAGCCCGTCATCTCTTCAACCCCAGGGCACATGCTGTCATTCTGCCATAAATCCAGTACACATCTCATCCTTCCACTATCAGCAAGTCCTCCTCCAGGAAGCAGCGTCTAGCATCTAGATCCTGATTTTCTGCTGTTTTAGTACTGTGCACCACTCCTAAAGCCTTTGTCCAGCTGCAATTTTTTTGGGGGGACTGGGATTTGAATTCAGGGCTTCACACTCACAAAGCAGACCTCTACTGCTTGAGCCACATCTCCAGTCCTTGTCTTTGTTTTTGAGATAGGGTCTCCCTAACTTTATCAGTCATAGTCTCAAACTTGGGATCCTCCTATATCCGCCTCCCAAGTAGCTGGGATTACAGGCATGTGGCAAACATGCCCACTTGTCATCACAATTATTCCTATGGCCCTTGAGACTTGAAAGTTGCCTGATTTAACATTTGTTGACTTCAGTCAAGTGGACCTTAGAGAGATTAAGTAATTTCCCCAAGTTACTCATCTTGGAACTATCAGAGGGACTAAGATAAAAATCTAGGCTCCAAGGCCTGCACTGCTCTTGGGATGAGACTCAGCCCCACCATGGCCCTGTCACCTCCTTGCCCACATCTCTACCTCTTTAGTCTTTCCATAGCAGGCATGCTGGTCTCCCCACTATTGTTCCTGGTAGGGTCCTACCTCAGGACTTCTGTACTTGCTGTTTCCTCTATATTGTCAGACCTCAGATGCACCATCACTTGCATGGTACAGGCACCTGTACCCCCAGACATCCCCAGGTCCTCCAATGCCAGCCCAAATAGTTCCCTGGATCCCTGGAGTGTGTGGATGTGCCAATAGCACATCCAGTTTGCAAGCATATATATTTTTTATTTTATTTATTTATTTTTTGAGATACAGGGGTTTGAACTCAGGGCCTACACCTTGAGCCACTCCACCAGCCCTTTTGTGTGATGGGTTTTTAGTTTTTTTGAGATAGGGTCTCATGAACTATTTGCCCAGGCTGGCTTCGAACCTTGATCCTCCCTATCTCTGCCTCCTGAGTAGCTAGGATTACAGATGTGAGCCACTGGCTCCTGGCTTTTTTTTTTTTTTTTTTTTTGAGATAAGGTCTTCCTATGTAGCCTAGGCTAGTCTCAATCTCTCTCTCTTTTTTTTTTTCTTTCGGTACTGGGGTTTGTACTCAGAGCATGGAACTTAATAGGCAGGCACTCTACCACTTGAGTCATACCCCTAGATCTTTTGCTATAGTTATTATTTTTTGTTTTCTCCAGTTTTTGTCTATAACCAACTTCCTACCCCTGCCTCTTACATAGCTGAAACCACAGATGGGTGCCACCATGTTTGTTTTTGTTGAGATGGGGTCTCTAATTTTTGTTGCCAGTTTGGCTTTGAACCACTATCCTCCCATCTCTGACCCATGAGTAGCTGGGATTACAGGTATGAGCCACTGCAGCTACTTCAGTTTTTATTAATATCCATTAACCTCTAAACTGTAAGGCCTCTAAAGGGAAGGACCTCTCCTCCCGAGGGTCTCATATTTAGTAAGCACTCAATAAATATCTATGAACTGAATAATCAACCCCCTCACACTGACCTGCATCCACATCTGTCCAGCCAAAGGAAATCAACCAAGTCCCAAAACCTCCCCAGACTCCTGCGAGTGCCCAAAGATTCATACCAGTATAGGGACCCAGTAGTAATTGAGAGGTGGTGCTGTATCCTGCACGATCCTGATTCGGTGAGTGAAGAAGAAGAAAGCCAGGATCCCTGGGGAAGGAGGAAACTCAGGTGGTTAAGAGTTCTGAGTATAGGAAGAGAGCACTCCATGGGGACAGGTCAGCAGCTCCCAAGTCACTCCAACAGGATCCCAAACTGGGAGGTGCCACTCACCCACACTACCCACGATCAGAAGTTTGCCCAACAGGAACAGGAAGTCAGTAACTTTGTCCAGGACAGCCACTCTGCAAGGGACAAAGAGAGGCAGGTGTAACGCTGGTTCAAGGACTAGGGGAGGAAGGAGGCAAGAGAAGAAGGCGTCTTCTCCGACCTGATGATGTTTCTCATAAGCAAGAAGAAGGCATTCCTGGCAGACGTGCAGAAGTTGGTGCCGTAGATGGCGATCTGGAGGGGAGAAGGAGGGATGAGGTCTCCTGGATGGTGATCGGGGCTCCTCCCACCCAGCAGGAGCAGGTGGGTCATGTCAGAGTCCCAGGCCGACTCACCATGATGTAGGCATTCCTGTTGAGGAATTTGATGAACTTCTCTAGGCACCAGAAGCAACATTTGAGGCAGGTCATGAGAAATTTGGCAAACTTGTTCTCTGCAGCTGCAAGAGAAGGGCAAGGACCCAGAGTCGTCTAGATAGGGAACCCCATCGCCCACTCTCTAAGTGAGACAGGCAAAGGAGACGATGCAGAGCCCTTGGCCCCGCCCCTAACGAGAGAGCCAATTGAAAAGTCTCAGCCCCGCCTCTAACGCAGAACCCAACCAGGATGCACACACTGCTAATCAGGCTCCGCTCCCAAGCAGAGGCCAATCCTTGCCTCTGCCCCACCTCCAAATAAACCAATCCCAGCCTCATACTTTCCTCTTGAGAAAGATAGCAGCTTTAGTTCCGCGCCCTCCTAGCAGGAGCCAATGGTGGGCCGGGCCTTTTGGGCCCACCCCTCAGCAGTAAGAATTTCACCCAGTGGGCTCTCAGCCGATCACCTCAGGAACCAATCACATTCAGCAACACAGCTAATTGCCCCAGGCAGGAACCAATCACTGTCCCACCACTTTAGTGGTCCCACCCACCCTTCCAGCAGCGCCATTCCCAACCTGTTGCTTAGTCCCGCCCCCAGAGAGGCTGCACGTGGCCCGCACCTTTCAGCCGCTGATCCAAATACTCCAGCATCACGCGGATGATCTGCACAATGGCCAGAATGAGGGCGCCAAAGGCCAAGGACCCTGTGTGGTACCTGCGGGGGCGCCAAGGGCGTGATCAGTGACCCGGCAAGAACTGCTCCACCCTATCCTTGTGCTGTCCCCAACCCCGTCCTACCTGAGCGCTCGGCCAAAGGCAGAGAAGAGCGGGAAGGCAGGCAGATCATCTGGCTTTCGCAGGGCCCAGTAGTAGGAGGCAAAGGCCCCGGCCAGGGTGACCTGACCCAGCGCCAGCACGAAGTTGGCCAGCCAAAAGAACATGAAGGCATTGAAGATCTGCAGGCCCAACAACGCACGGTGGTAGCCCGACTCACCACCATAGAAGGCGAACTGGCAGCGGCCATTGGGGCACAGGCGAGATTCATTGGAGGAGGGGAAGTTCTGGGGGAGGGGACAGAGCAGAGTGAAAATCCTGAGCCAGTGGCTCACGCCTGTGATCCCAGCTACTCAGGAGGCAGAGATCAGGAGGATCAAGGTTCGAAGCCAGCCTGGGCAAATAGTTCCACAATCCCCTATCTCGAAGAAAAAAAAAAAATCACAAAAAAAGGCCGGTGGAGTGGCTCAAGGTGTAGGCCTTGAGTTCAAACCCCAACACTACAAAAAAAAAAGAAATACTGCAGCCAGGAATTCAGGGTGGGTGAGACAGTCATGGGAGGTCAAGGAATGAGGGGTTCAGGAGAGGAGCTTGTGAAAAGCAAGGAACGTCTAGAAACAAGAATGGCTATCACAAAGGTGAAGAAAAATGCGGAGGGTCAGGAAATAACAAGGGGGGGGAGTGGTCCAACACCCAGGGTCCAAAAGAGGCCAAGGTGATCAATTCCCAGCGTGCCCTGGAAAGTTGCGCACTCCATCCCTTGGCATCCATGCCCCCACCCTGGTATAGGAATACAACAGGTACCAAATGTTTGTTGAATGATCTCCCACCTCAGGTTTGCAGGTTTTTCCAACAAGTGGGCAGGCAGCATCATCGAATATCTTATAGACAGCTTCGTTAGAAGTGGACAGAAAGCTAGATTGTCATTAAGGAATTCGAAGTCTGGGGATGGAGAACCCCAAGGGATTATGGGAAAGGATCCACACACCCCAACTAGGTTCCAGCCCTGCCCACTCAAGCTTCAGGTCCCTTCCAGGCAACTTTGCCCTTTAGCCTTCTGAGGAGTCACGGGTGGGGGCTGCTGGTGGATACACAGCGGTACTGGCCCAGTAGGCGATGCAGAGACACAGAAGGAAGAAGGTGACCAGCGGGTACAGCATGGAGCACATGACATATCCCACAGCCCTGAAGAGGAGCACAGACACAGGCATCAGGGCCCAAAGAGCCCCAGGGACAACCCCAGCCTAGGTCCCTGGCCATCCCAGCCCCACCTGCTGGCTTCCTTGATGAGCGCAATGGCGATGAGAATTCTCTTTCGAAGAAAGATGAGTAGCAAAATAATAATAACTTCCAGGATACTCAGAATGATCACTGTAAGGGGCAGAGGATAAGTTGTTTGGGTGCCTCGCCTCCTCCAAGGCCTCCTAGGGGGCAGGACTGGGGACTGTGACTCACTGAAGGCCATCCAGGTCTGCCGCAAATGCAAGTACACCCGCAGATCCGTCTGGAAGCCAAGGTCTACCAGAGAGACATCCGAGCCAGCCTCACCACGCAGTCGCGCGTACTCCATGTAGCAGTGAAATATTCCTGCACAGAACCACAACTTCAGCACATCAATTCCTCCTCCAACCTTACAAAGCAAACACGATTGCCCCCAAGGCTGGGGAGATCCTGCCACAGGGTCTTTGGCAAGTGCCATTCACACTGTCAGGTACACTCTCTCCCACATCCTCAGGATTCTGCTCAAATGTCACTTGGTACTTGGTCACTTGAGCCACACATCCAGCCTTTCTCTCTTTTTTTTTTTTTTTTTTTGGTGGGACTGGGGTTTGAACTCAGGGCTTCCTGATTGCAAAGCAGGTGCTGTACTGCTTGAGCCACACCTCCAGCCCTCCCCCCCTCCACACACACACATGTTTTTTTTGTTGTTGCCATTGAGAGGATTTCACTGTAGAGTCCAGGCTGGCCTGGAATTTGCCATTCTTCTGCCTCCACCTCCCTGGTGCTGGGATTATAGGCGCGCACCACCTAGCTGACATGATGTCTGGGTTCTCAGATTTGGTTGCTAAGCACTTATCTTTCCAGAAAGTTTAAGTGAGTAATCAGAGTACAGGAGCTGCTTGGTGAGCAGAGCCTCTGGGTCCTCCAGGCCTTTCCCCTGACCTTATCTCCACACTATCACGGGCTCCCTGGCCGCTCATATGGTAAACAGGAATTATTTCCGTAATAGGAGCATGCAGTTGAGGCCCAGTGAGACTTAGTCACTTGCCCAAGGACACAGATCTAGTCAGTAGCAGAGCCAGGATTTCATGTTCTGGGGCCAGAGTATGAGTTCCTAGTCACTAAACAGCATGCTTGAGAATGCCTTTTGGTTTTGTTCTTTTCTTTTTCGGTTTTTGTTTGTTTGTTTGTTTCTGAGACAGGATCTTACTCTGTAGTCCAGGCTGGCCTCATGCTGTCAATCCTCCTGCCTCAGGCTCCCACGTGCTGAGATTAAAGGCACGCACTACCACACTTGGCTATGAGTGTTGCTTTTGCTGCTGACAAAATACCAATCTAGGACCTGGTTTGGAAAGGTTCCGAGAGCCAGATCCCTCTTCCCTCCTGTGGTGATGCAGGAATTGAACCAGGGTCTTGCACATGCTAGGCAAGCGCTCTACCACTGAGTTACAGCTCCAGCCTCGAGAGCCAGATTTAACTCATCCCCGATAGATGGGCATTTAAGGGTTTCCATGTCTGCTCTCAGAAACACTCACGTGAGCAGCTTCACAAATATACCAAGTAAACAATGAAGAACAGCCAGACACAGTGGCTCATGCCTGTAATCCCAGCTACTTGAGAGACAGAGATCAGAAGAATTGAAGTATTGAAGTTCAAAGTCAGCCCGGGGCCAATAGTTTTTGAGACCCTATCTCGAAAATATGCAACACAGAAAAGGGCTGGTGGAGTGATTCAAGGTGTAGGCCCTGAGTTCAAACCCCAGTAGCACCAAAATAAAAAACAAGATGAAAAACATCTGAAGGCTTAGGATGAAGTTGCTGATGGGTACAGGCAATTTTCTGTGGGTACACAGGTGGGAGAGGGCACAGGGGAGGGGGAGGGAGACGCACCATAGCCCAGCACCAGAATCACCATGACAATCATCACCCAGACCATAATGCCAGCTAGGAACCGGAGCAGGATGACAAACAGGAGGCTCATTACCATGGCGATGACCAGGCCTCTAGGGAGTAAGACAGGGACATGAGAAGATCCTGCCAGGCCAGCCTCGGAGGGGACAGAGCCACCTGCCCTCTGACTTACATGACAATCCAGTACCAAGAGACAGTATAATCTTCAAATATCCTCATGGCCAGCTGCCGCGCCTCCAGGACCCCATTGGCCTTCCTGAAGAAAGAGGATGAGGCTCAGGTCAGACCCCCCTTTCCTGATCAGGTGGACCCCAGGCCATGCCCTTGTCCTGCCAGGAAATTGTGACACCCGTGTGTTGTCAGTGATCCTCACTTGGCGCCTTCCACCAGCTCCGTGATGTTTTTCCGAGAGCCGAGGCCATCTTCATAGGTAGTCTCGTTACCCACCATGAGGACCCCCTTGTGGGCGTGGATAGCTGGAAAACACCTGCGGGCCACTGTATGGGAGCCAAGGACGGAACTTGTCAGGCTAAGTCCATGGAGATCCCCCCAGTGTGTACCTGAGCCTCTGGGGACCCCAGACTCACAGGGTTTGCTGGGCGTGAGGACAGCAGGACATTCACCATCCCGAAGCACCTCAGCCACACCCTGCCAAGAGAGAGGGAACAGGTAAACCCCAGGACTGAGTCCTCCCAAGGCCCCTAGCTGGGCTCCCAGGACACCTGCTGCTCACCTTATTGTTCTGGAAGCCAGGGACACAGAACTGCTTGTAGTACTCAAAGTCCTTTGAGTTTCGGGCATTGAGGAAGGTGAGGTAGCGGTCAGGGCACTGCTCCACACAGATCTGGGAGCGAGGAAGGATAAGGATGCAGGGGACAGGGATATACACAGGATCCCCACTCAAGACAAAGGCTCCATCCCATGTCCAGCCAGCAAGAGAAAGCGATGACAAGAAGGAAAGGAAATGGGGGAGGCAGGGGACAAAATACCTGGGGAGTGGGACATTGGAATTCCAGCAGGACCAGGGGACTGGCACACTTCACGATGTTGAAATAAAACAGGAAGGGCTTGTCCCTGGAAGTGCAGAAGGGAAACAGTCAAGACTTCTCAACCACCCTATATAGAAAGCTTTATGGAAAAAACAACATGGGATGGGAACGTAGAGCAGAGTGCTTGCCTAGCATGCGTGAGGCCCTGGGTTCTATCCCCAGCACTATGACAACACAAAAGACCAAAATCAACAATAAAAACCATAATGACAGCTACTCCCTGGCAGATGCTGTTCTAAGCTCAGTACATATATATTAGATCATCTATGATTCCCATTTTAGAGGTGAAGAAAATGAGACCAAGGGGCTGCCTCAAGAGTAGGTCATATAAGCCCTAGGTCCTGAATTTAAGATAAATATCAGACTCAGAGAGGTTGAGACACTTGCCCTAGGTCACACAGCCTCCAGGGTTTGACAAAGTCTCAGCTGAACCAGCTCTGTCACCTGAGCTGTTCATCACCACCCTGACACAGAACGGTACTGTCTCCTCTGTCTCTGCCTCAAAATTTGACTCCATCCAGGTGCCAGTGGCTCACTCCTGTAATCCTAGCTCCTCAGGAGGCAGACATCAAGAGGATCCTGGTTTGAGGCCAGCCTAGTCAAACAGTTCGACAGATCCTATCTCAAAAATACCCAACAGGGCTGTCGGAGTGGCTCAAGTGATAGAGAACTTGCCTGACAACAGTGAGGCCCTGAGTTCAAACCCCAGTACTGCCAAACAAAGAAAAAAAAAACTAATGAGACTCCAGAGAACAGAACGTTTAAGTTCCCAAGGCCTGGAGCAGCGGCTGGGGATAATGTGGGAGTTTCAATACACAGGTGGCCTTCCAAAACCAGCTGCAGATTGAAAATATTTTTTAAAAATTGTGTCTGGCACAGGGAGTATAGCTGAGTGCTGTAGGGCACGTTTGGAGTCCTGGGTTCCGTCCCCAGCAACAGTAGTAACAGTGATGATGGTAAATTTTAAAAAACAAAATAGAAAATAGAATTGAGCATGTATAAGCTGCTTCTTCTTGCTGTCCCCTAAACAATACTGTATAACAGCTATTTCTGTAACAGCCACATTGTATCAGGCGTTACAAGTCATCTAGACACATTTAAAGTCCGCGGGAGGTGCAGGCACATTCTGCGCAAAAGCTGCACCATTCTACACACGGGACTTGAGCATGGGGGAGTTTAGTATCTGCAAAAGGGGTCCTGCATATCAAGGGACAAATGGACTAGAAAAGTCTAGAACCTTCTTCCCTGTGCTTACAAGCCCTTCTCCCCACTCCCCAGCCGATCAAGCCCCTGGGAGACAAACTCACGCGTTTTTTGTGCCCTTCTGTCCGCAAAACTCGCCCCTGCTGTCCGTGGGGTAGATGACCTTCCGAGGGTCCCCATGGGTCCAGGCTGTGAAGGGATCCGGGGACACTGAGGCCCTGCCATTCCTCAGCCCAAAGGCGGGGCTGCCCCCTCCCACCTACACGCCATGTCCTACGCCCTCCCCTACTTACCTATGATGCCCACAGCCACGTAGCCAACGATGGCCAGGAGGAGAATCACACAGCAAATGACATCTGTGCAACCCCTAGGGAGCAGAGAGGCAACGTCAGGACACGGGGCCATCTTGCCCTCTACACAGCCACAGCCGTGTGTCATTTGGACATATTTTCCCCGATAGTTTGAATGTATACAGCTTTTACATTTTGGTACCATCCCCGAAGCAAGTGACAGCAATGTGCAACTTGTGATCAGGTCTGAAAATCTCCCCACATCATCACCAGAAATACATGTTAACATTTTACTTGTTTGTACGAGGTTTCATAGACTTTTTTTTTTTTTTTGCTAGAATTAAAATTTGGGCACTCAGTGACAGAGTGCTTAAGTAGAATGTGCAAAGCCCTGTGCTCAAACCCAGCACAGCAAAAAGAAATCAATAAAATAAAAATTACAGAACAGAGATTTACATGAAGAAATTTTTATGCTGGGCACCAGTGTCTCACACCTGTACTTCTAACTACCCAGGAGGCAGAAATCAGGAGGATCAAGTTTCAAGGCCAACCCAGCAAGTAAGTTTTCGAGATCCTATCTAGAAAAAAACCCATCACACAAAAGGGCTGGTGGAGTGGCTCAAGGTGAAGGTCCTGAGTTCAAGCCCCAGTACCACAAAAAAAGAAGAAAAAATTTTTATATTTCTAGCCAGGAGCTGGTGGGCGCCAGTGGCTCAAGCCTGTAATCCTAGCTACTCAAGAGGCTGTGACTGGGAGAACTGAAGTTGGAGGTCAGCCCAGGGCAAATAGTTCTCAAGACCCCAAGTCCAAAGTAGCCAGACAAAAATGGACTGGAGGTATGGCTCAAGTGGCACAGTGCCTACTTGACAATCACAACTCCCTGGGTTCAAACCCCAGTCCCACCAAAAAATAACAAAATAAAAAAATCCCAGCTACTCCAGAGGCAGAGATAAAGGAGGATCTTAGTTCAAGTATAGCCCAAATAAAAGCTACCTAGACCCCATCTCAGGCAAAAAGCCAAGGGTGGTGGCTCCTGCCTGTCATTCCAGTTACTGAGGATAAAGTGGTCCAGGCAGGGAACAAAAACCCTATTCCAAAAACAGCTAAAAGCAAAAGAGGGTTGGGGGTTTGGCTCAAGTGCTAGAGCACCAGCCAAAATAAGTAAATAAAAACAAGTCCACTAGTGGCTAGAAGACTTGGCTCAAGTGGTGGGGTACATGCTTGGCGTGGGCGAGGCTCTGGGTTCCATCCCCAGCACCAAACACCAAACAAATAAAACCCGTTTGTAAGGACTCTTTGTACACAAAGCAAATTAGTCCTTGTAGCTAGCTGCAAATACTTATCACCAGTTTGTCGGGAACAGAGGGAGGGAGGGATACAGACGTGGGCTGGGGCAGGAACATCTCTGTCCAGAAGCCCCGGGGCTCTTACCTGTTGTAAATGGGTCCTTTGAACGTGGGATCATACTTTTGTGGCGTTCCTGAAAAGGCAACAGAATTTAGCTGAGGAGGTCAGAAGATCCCAACCCAGAATGGACTGGGAGACCTGCTGTTCCATGGCATTAAACTTGAACCCTGGACACACTAGGGTCCGCTTCCTACCTCCAGGAGACCACACCCCAGCTCCCATTTCCCCTGACTTAGAGGCTGGCGGCCACCCACGAGAGCCAGGCCCAGAAAGGTGGACAGGGGCAAGTTCAAGGTGCGATGGGCCGGGCACTTATGCAGGGGTCCTGAGGAGGGAGCCCCAGGGCAGGTCGTGCGGGTTTGGAGGGGCATCTGGGGGAGAACTCTGCGGAGCTGCTGGCAGGAGATGGGGTGTCACTTGCAGATGTACAATTTTGCTCCCCTTCTGCTCCTCCCCAAGGTCCATTCCCCCCTCACGCCCCCCACCCCCACGCTGTCGCGTCCAAGTGGCCAACCCCGGGGTGCGGGGAGGGGAATCTGCCTACCGTGCTTCCCGTAGTAATGCTGCCGATCGCCCCCCATCCCGGCGGGCGCGCACCCCCGACGGCGCCCGTAGGCTCCCGCGCCCTCTCGGTCCCCAGGTCCGGACACGCCGCGTCCCCAGGGAGGCCGGGACCCAGCGAGAGACTGGCCGAGGCGCCTCCCAGCTAAGTGCCAGGCTGGGCGGCACAAACCGGTCAGACCGGCCGGAGCCCGGGGACAGAGGCGAGGGAGGGGAGGAGGGAGGAAGAGGGAGGGGGAGGGAGAAGGAGGGAGGGGCGGGGGGCGGGGCGCCAGCTGCTCCTGCCACTCACCGCGCTCCCGCCCAGCCCCCACCCACCCACCTGCGGCCGCGCCACCTCCATTCCCCCACCCCCACGCCTCAACAACCCCGGGAAACTGAGGCACTGGAGGGCAAGCAGACGGCTGAGCTCAGACGACCAGCGATTGACGGAGAAGGTGGCATGAAAGCTCTCACACCGGTACAGTTTTCTCTTTTTTAATTTTGGCAGTACTGGGGTTTGAACTCAGGTCTTCACATTTGCAAACCAGGCGCTCTACCGCTTGAGTCACTCCTCCAGCCCATCTCACTCTGCTTATTTTGAAGATGCGGCCTGGCACCCTTGGCTCATGCCTGTAATCCTAGCTACTCCGGAGGCAGACATCAGAAGGATCGCTGTTAGAGGCTAGCCCCGAAAATAGTTCTAGAGACCCTATCTCGGAAATAGCCAACATGGACTGGCGGAGTGGCTCGTGTTCTAAGAGTGCCAGACTAGCAAGTGTGAGACCCTGAGTTCAATCCCCAGTATCACCAAAAAAAAAAAAAAAAGGCTGGAGGTGTGGCACAGGCGGTACAGCCCTGCCTGCCTAGCAAGCCCCAAGCCCTGAGTTCAAATCCCAGTGCCAAAAACAACCCCAAAATAATAATAGCTGCTACCTCAGAATCAAGTACACCCAGGTGGGGCTGTGCTCCCTAACTTAGCTTGTCCCTAGAGAAAACTCCACCTCTTTCAAGTGGCCTTATGTGAGAAGCCTGTCTGGCCCCTAAGCCACAGGCTTCAGCAAACAGGCGAGGCCTGAGGCTCCAAGCCATGCCCTTGGGTAACCAGGACTCCCAAAGAAATCTTGTGGTTGCCACAGTCCCTTCCAGCCCTGGCCGGCTGGTTCCACCCCACCCAGACTGAGCAGTGGTCAGAGAGCTGGTCCCGGTCACAGGCCTCTTCTGTACCCAGTTACACTGTCCGTTGGAGACAATGACACTCAACACCATACCTACCAGGTCGTCACAGACAAATTCAAATGTGTGGGCTGTCATGTGGGCTTCACCCCCAGCTGCACATTTGTGTGGCATCTGCTACCCAGCCCCATGTGGAGGTTTCACTGTCACCTCATGCTCACATCCAAGCTTTTATTTGTTTTGGTGGAACTGGGATTTGAACTTGGCTCCCTGCATACAAAGTTGGTACTCTACCACTTGATCCACACCTCCAGTCCATTTGGCTCTGGTTGTTTTTGAGATAGGATCTTGAGAACTATTTGCCAGGGCTAGCCTCCAACCTTGATCCTCCAGATCTCAGCCTCCCACGTAGGTAGGATTATATGTGTGAGCCACCACACCTGGCTATATCCAAGATTCTGATTGTCCCCCAAAGGCGGTTCCTCCTTTCCTGTACCCAGGCCAGAAACCTCTTCTTGCTTCACATCCACTCTGTCTTCAGAACCATCTAGAATAATCCAGCTTTTGTCCACAGCCAGTCATATCCTGCCTGAATTAGCTATGACCCTCATTTTGTGCAATCCCCTATACTCTCCACAGCTGGGAGAGCCTGTGAACACCTAAATCAGGGTACTTCCTTCCCTCTGCCCAGAACCTACCATGGCTCCTACCTTGCTCAGAAGAAAAGCCCAAGTCCTCACTTCCTGGCCCTCACCTCTTCTCACTTTGCTGCTGGCTTGTTCTGTTCCAGCCTCACTGCCCTCCTGGCTGTATTACAAACTCAGCAGTCACGATGCCACCTCAGGGCTTTTGCACTGGCTTTTCTGTTCCACTGCACAGAAGCTCTTCTCAGGCCTTGAGGAGGTACCATCTCCCCCGAGAGGACAGGCTGCCTCCGACACCTTATCTAAACAGTACAGTATGGCTGGGAATGTAGCTCAGAGCTAAAGCCATGAATGAGGCCCTGGGTTGTATCCCAGCATTGGAAAAAAAAAAAAAAAGTCAGATATGGTTGTTCATGCATATAATCCCAGCACAGGGGGAGGCTGATGCAGGAGGATCTGGAATTTGAGGTTAGCCCATGTCTAGCATCAAACAGACAAGCAGTAAATGTTTGTTGAATGAATAACCACAATGCATAATCAGCACTTATAGAACTAACTCTGAAAATAAAAATGCAGCAGTTATCCATGTGTCCGTATTTTAAGAAATAATGTGCGGGTAAGTAGGGTGGTGAATCCCTATAATCCCAGCACTTTCGAGACTGAGACAGGAGGATCAAATTCATTTGAGACCAGCCTCCATTACATAGTGAGACCTTGTCTCAAATAAATAAATAAAATAAAATTTCTAAAAATTAATTCAGGAGGGGCTAGGGATGGGGCTTAGTGATAGACCACTGGACTGGCATGCTTGAAGGCCTGGGTTCCATCTTAGCACTCCACCCGAAAAAATTAATGTGTGAATTTTCACTTAAAAGAACTTGATCAGTGATAAAGGTGGAATTTTCAGTCCACAAGAAAAGCAAAACTCTTTCGTCAGTATGCTTGCTATGCATTTGGAAGAAAATAAATTTAACCTGCCCTGACACAGAGCAAAACAAATTCCACATGGATTAATCACGAAAAGACATAAAATCTCAAAACTATGACAAATAGCCTGGCTACACAGTGAGTTCAAGGCCATCCTGGGTTACACAGCAGGACCTGGTCTCAAAAAAAAAAAAAGGGCTGATGGAGTAGCTCCAGCGGTAGAGCACCTACCTAGCAATCATGAGGCCCTGAGTTCAAATCCCAGTACTGATAAAAAAAAAAAAACTAAAAAAGTTACAAGCATGAGGAAAACACAGGAGGCTATATTTAACATCTGACAGGAAGACCGGTAGCGCAGGCGGTAGGAGAGATAGGGATTGGAGATTACTGGAAGTTTCTGATGTCAGCCTTCTGAATGTGAGCAGACCTGGCAGAGAGGAAGAAACCACTTAAAAAAACAATGCTGAGCCGGTGGCTCATACCTGTAATCCTACCTACTTGGGAGACTGAGATCAAGAGGGTCAAAGTTCAAGTCTAGCCCAGAATGGTTTGAGAGACCCCATCTCCAAAGTAACCAGAGCGAAATGGACTGGAGGTGTGGCTCAAGCAGTAGAGCACCTGCTTTGCAAGTGTGAAGCCCTGAGTTCAAATCCCGGTCCCACCAAAAACAAAACAAAACACTTATTCTAGCTCACACCTATAATCCTAGCTATTCAGGAGGCAGCGATGAGGAGGATCACTGTTGGAGTTCAGCCCGAGCAAATAGTTCGAGAGACCCTATCTCAAAAAGACTCAATATAAAACAGGGCTAATACTGTGACTCAAGTGGTAGAGCGCCTGCCTAGCAAGCGTGGGGCCCTGAGTTCAAACCCCAGTACTACCAAAAAAAAAAAAAAAAAAAAAAGAGGTAGAATCGAAAGCTTGAGGTATTGTGTTCAATCCCCAGCACCACAAAATAAATAAACCATATCAGCCCATTTTACAGCAGGGGAAAGCAAAGGTCAGAAGGGAAAGCAGCTTGCTCAGTCCACCCAAGAGGTCCATTCACAGTCTGGGTGGGATGAGTAAGTGGGAGTTACAGAGGGTATTTGAGCAGGAGCATGACAAGTCCAGGCGAGGAAAAGGAGAACATGCTGGGGAGTCTCCGAGAGCTCTGTCAGGGGAAGATTGCTGAGCCTGAAAAGCTTGAGTTACCTCTGTGAGATGAACGAAGAGGCACTGGGTACAGGCTTGGCCCTGTGGCCTCTCAGGAAATGTGAGAGGGAAGATTGGTGAGGTCAACTGATGGGTTCCATTAGCTCTCATTAACCATAGTAGGGTAGGGCTGAGGAAGGGGAGGGGCAGACACTATGGTTTCTGATCATTGAGCCTGAGCCAAACCCTGAAGGAAGTCAGTGTGTTGGATTTACAACAGGGGTTGCAAGATGATAATAAGAACAAAGGTGCAGGCAGAAGATCAGGCGTTCCAGGCCAGCCTGAGTTACATAGCGAAACCCAGTCTCATGCCATGTGTGGTTGTGCACGCTTGTAATCCCAGCTACTTGAGAGGTAGAGGTAGGAGGATCTCGACAAAGTCAACACAAGCTGATAGCAAAAGGGCTTGGGTGTGGTTGAAGTCAATCACATTAAATTATTTTGTATACTTAGGTGTGTCTTGTTTTTTTGTTTCTGTTCCTTCAATCTTCCAGTCTACTAAAACCATTCTGATTTTTGTGTGAGGCGAACGTGATAACCACTACACTACGGAAACAACCGGTCCATTCTGATTTTTGTGTAGCCTAATAATATATTTTAGTAGCTGGCCTTGAGTACATTCTCCTATAATTCTTTTTGTTGATGTTTTTTATTTTTTCAGGACTGAGGTTTGAACTCAGGGTCTCCACCTTTCCTTTTTTGTGATGGGTTTTTTCGAGATAGAGTCTAGTTGCCTGGGCTGGCTTCGAACCGTGATCCTCCTGATCTCTGCCTCCTGAGTAGCTAGGATTACAAGACTAAGCCACCAGCACCCGGTTGGGTATTTTCCTTATTTAAAATTTTATCTTATTTTTATTATATTGTTTTACTGGGGGTACACTGTGACATTTACAAAAGTGCTTATCTTAGTTAAATTCACCCGCACCATCATTCTCCTTTTTCCCTCTCCCCCCTTCTTTGAATAGTTGCAAGGTCTCACTGTTCCGTTTTCACACATGGGTGCGTAATATTTGCACCACATTCACCCTCCAACACCCTTTCTTTGCATCCTCCCCGCTCCCACTGGTACCGTTCTGCCTTCCTGTCCTTCCTTTTTTTTTGGCAGTACTGGGGTTTGAACTCAGGGCCTCACACTTGCTAGGCAGGTGCTCTACAACTTGAACCACTCCACCAGCCCAGTTTTGTGTTGTGAATTTTCAAGATAGGGTCTCTAGTATTATTTGCCTGGGCTGGCTTCGAACCGTGATCCTCCTGATCTCAGACTCCCGAGTAACTAGGATTACAGGTGTGAGCCAGTGGCCCCCAGCTTTATTTTGCTTTTGAGACAGGGTCTCAGGATCTTTCCTGGAGTTAGCCTCAGTCTCAAAATCTTCCTGCCTCCACCTTCCAAGTAGCTGGGATTGAAGGCCTGTCCCACTGTGTCTGGCCAAATCAACTTTCAAGTCATTTTGCTCAAATATCACATTTGAAAACAAACAAAAAATCCGAAAAAGGAATTCCAACAACTTGCTGGTCTAAACAACATAAATTTCTTACCTCCCTTTTCCTCTTTTTCTTTCAGCGGTGCTGGGGTGGAAACCGGGGCCTCCCACATCCTAGCTTAGGCAATTATCTTATAGTTCTAGCAGTCACATGTCCACAACTCACTGAATGCCACTGCACTGCATTTCTCCCCAGGATTCTACATTCTCTGACAGCTTCTAGAATCTTCTGAAATTCTACGGGAGAATCTGTCCCAGGTTCGAGAGACCGGTTCTTCTTCCTCCTTCTTCCTCTTCTTCTCCTTCTTCTTGTACTGGGGTTTGAACTCAGGGCTTCGTGCTTGTTGCTAGGCAGACACTTGGGCACATGAGCCATGACCCCAGTCCTTTTTGTTCTGGTTCTTTTGAAGATAGGGTCTTGCTTTTTATCCACGCCACCCATGATCCTCCTATCTAAGCCTTCCACAGTAGCTGGGGTGACAAGCAGGTGCCACCACACCCAGCCATTAGTTGAGATGGGGGTTTCTTGAGCTATTTGCCCAGGCTGGGCTTGAATTTCAACCCTCCTGATCTCTGCCTCCTGAGTAGCTAGGGTCCAGGCATGAATCACCAGTTGTTCCCTTCTCCCATTTTTAAAGCCAGCCGTCACAAGAAGCATACATCTGTTTCAATGTCACTGTCCTCTGATGTCCCACTTCTCTCGTTTCTAAGGAGTCTTGTTCAGGGACCATCTGCAAACCCAGAATAGTGCCCGACCTCAAGGTCCTCAATCTAGTCACACCTGCAGAATCTCTGTGGAGACACGTAAACCAGTACGTTCTCATGTTCCCGAAATTGCCACCAGGACATATTTGGAGGCTATTGTTCTAACTCCCACAACTTCCTCTTTTTGCATGTGAGTGTGTGGAACTGGGGTTTGAACTCAGGACTTTGCACTTGCAAAGCAAGTGGAGCCACACCTCCAGCCCATTTTGCTCTGGTTATTTTGGAGATGGAGTCTTGTCAAATATCTGCCATGCCTAGCCTCAAACCTAGATCCTCCCAATCTCAGCCTCTCGAGTAGCTAGGATTACAGGCAGGGGCCACCAGCGCCCAGCTTCCTCTTTTGTGATCTTCTCTGTGGTGCTGGGTGAGAAATCCAGTGCCTCATGCGTGTTAGGCACCATCAGGGGCTTAGCTGTGTAGGCTAAGAGTTGACAGACTCGTAGCTACCTGAAGGGCACTGACTGCTTTGTTTTGTTTTGTATTTTTGATGATACTGGGGTTTGAACTCAGGGCCTTGGGGTCTACAGCCCCCCCCACTTTATTTTTTTTGCCGGGTACAGGACAGTGTCTCACTATGTAGCCCAGGCTGGTCTAGGACTCTCAATCCTCCTGCCTCAGTCTCCAGCTTGCTGGGATTACAGATGTACACTACCATACCTGTCTCCGTCTATGGCAGCCTTTATACAACAGGAAGCTGAATTGGGGTGGTACATCCTGGCATTTATTCACTAGAATGAGGATGGGGACGCAAAGACTCCACAGCTCAGAATTGGGAAAGTGAGGCCCAATGGGGCTCCAGTCCTTCATGGATGAAGTCAGACACACCTACAGGTTCTCTCAGCTGCCACTTTCCTGTTTGCTGGGACTCAATGCCTCCAAAACACTTATCACAGGTCTGGAGGATGCAGCTTCAAGAAATAGAACTCCATAGACTAGAGGCATGGCTCAAGTAGTATAGTGTCTGCTTGGCAAGCACAGGGCCCTGAGTTCAAATCCCAGTCCCACCAAAATGAAAAATGAAAAGAAATACAACTCTGTGCTAGAGTCCTTGCCTGGCATGCAACTTGACAGGGAGGTAAACTGAGGCCATTCCCATAGGCCACAGAGCTGGTGATGCACAGAGTCAAAGCCAGGCTTTTCTTTGGCAGGTCCTGGGTGCAATGAATTGAATGTAGTCGGGCTCCTCTGAAACTTGCGTGACATTTAATCCCCATGGGGAGGCATGAAGTGTGTGGAAAGTGATTGGACCATGGTGTGCAGAGGTAGGGCCTTTGGAAGGACCTAAGAAGTCTTCAAGAGGCTGAGCCATTGATGGCTTTCTAAGAGGGATAGAAAACCGGGCAAGGCAGCACCCAACTGTAATCCCAGTACTCAAGAGGCTGAGGCAGAATTGTGAGTTTGAGGCCAGCCTGGGCTACATAAGACCCTGTCTTAAGTAAACAAAAAAGAGAACAAAACTCCACGTGCTCCCTGCCTCTCACCCTTGTGATGCAGACACCAGCTGGGGACTCTGCCAGCAAGAAGGCCACCACCTGATACAGCTTTTTGACCTTGCGCTAGAACACCAAGTGAAGCTAAAGAACCCCCTTTTCTTTGTAACATCCCCCCGCACACACACCTGTGGTATGGTGTTAAAAAAAAAAAAAAAAGACCCTGGGAGAAGCAAGGGTGGAGGAAATATGGAGAAGCTGAGAACAGCCAGAGTTGGGGAGGTGACCCTTGGGTCCCCGCCAGGCTGGGCAGAAGGGCTGGCCTACCCAGTGTGGTGAGCGTGGGAGATAAGGAAATTGACATGAGTTCCCCAGTCACATTGCTTCTGCCAGGACATCAAATGCCACCTAACCCCACAGCTTCTGGACACCAGCCAAGTCCCCAAGGGCTACAGCAGCCCAAGGCCTCGTCCACACAGCCAGGCCATGGCCCCTGCCTTTCCAGAAGCCTGGGCCTGGCAAGTGACATCCCAGCTGATCAGACAAGTCTCTGACAAAGGGCTCAGGACAGCACCTGGGCAGGAGAGCACAGAAGCGCTCAGCAGCAAAGATAGAGAGCTAGGCCTGGTGCTGCCTAGCTATAATCTCAGCTCTCCAGAGGCAAAAGGACCGTGAGTTCCAGGTCAGCCTGGGCTACATAAGGAGACCCTGTCTCAAAAAGAAGAAAGGTAGAGTGCCTACTGTATGCACCAGGTACCAAACAAGCCATTTGCTTCTAGAAATGTTTAATTCTTATTTTATCCTGACAATGTGTCCTGAAGGCTGACGCACAAGGAAGAAACGGAGGCACCAAAATGTTTCGTGACCTGCCAAGGATGCTCTTGAAGTCTATTATGGGATACCTCCCCTGTACCTCTGAACCTAGGTCACGGTCAAGTCCCGCACTCACGTCAGTCCAGACCCGACCCCTGAGTCACGCCACAGCCCTCCTCTGCTCAGAACTCTCAATGGTCCCCACTTCTCCCAGAACAAAAAGCCCAAGTCCTATGTGTGGCCCACAGGCCATGCAGACTCTGTCCCCTCTTCTGTCCTCACCTCCTCCTGTCAATAGGCCTCCTCACTGCTTAGTAACACCAACATGCTCCCTCCCCAGGGCCTTTGCACATGCCCTTCACCTAAAACGCTCCTCACAGCTCCCTTCCTCTGGTCACCTTCTCAGAATGACCTTCCGATTTTAATCTCAAACCTGCCTCCAGGCTCTAGAGATCACTCCCACCCATCTTCTAGGATTTACCTTTCTCTAATCCTCTTACCCAACATTCTAAGCAATTTCCTAATTCCTTTTTTTATTTTTGGCAGCACTGGGGTTTGAACTGAGGGCCTCATGCTTGCTAGGCAGGCGCTCTACCACTTGAGCCACTTCGCCAACTCTCTCTTCATTCTTATTTCTTGTCTGATCTCTTTAGAGAATGTCAGCTCCACAAAGGCAGCAGCTCTGCTGGGTTCACTGCTGGGGCTAGAACACACAGTGCTTGTTCAACGAATGCCTGCTGAAGGAAGAAATGAATGGACTTATTTACATCAAGCAACCTATAAGCTTATCAAGATACAAACTTCAGTTCAGTTTGGGCACGGTGCCTCATGCCTGTAATCCTAGCTACATAGGAGGATCACAGTTTGAGGCCAGCCCAGGCAAATAGATCTCAAGACTCCATCTCCAAAACAATCAGAGCAAAATGCACTGGAGGTGTGGTTCAAGTGGTAGAGCACCTGCTTTGCAAGCTCAAAGCCCTGAGTTCAAACCCCAGTTCCACCAAAAAAAAAAAAAAAAAAAAAAGTTTAAAAACTTTAGTTTACACTAAAAAGAAAATAATCATCCCCCTCTCACCTGCAGGCCTGGAGCTCTCACTTCCTGTCCTTGAGAACAGTTCCTCTTATTAATTTCCCTTTTCTCTCCATCCAGACACCGTCTACAATGTCTGTCCCCTAACCTCTGTTTTCTTTTTTTGTGTGTGCTGGGATAGAACATGGGCTTCACATACTCAAGCACTGAGCCACACCCAGCCCCTGAACCAGTCTTCCTGCACACTGTTCCCCCTTGCTGGATCATCATTTTACCAGCCTACGTAGTATTTCACTGTGGGAACAGGACCTTTTTTTTTTTTAAAACCTGTACCACTGAGCCACACCCTCCACCCCTGTCCAAGAAGCTATAAAAAGATACAGAGGCTTGCACAAACACAGACATAAATAAACTAAGCCCTGGAGACTTGTTTTTTTTGCTTCTTTGAGACAGGGCCTCGCTCTGCAGGCCAGGCTGGCCTTAAACTTGAGATCCTCCTGCCTTAGCCTCCCCAGTGCTGGGATTACAAGTGTGTACCACCACTCACTCCCATCTGGAAGGAAGTTTCTTGACTATGCTATCTCTGTGGTGTGGACAGGGGCTAAGAGTTCTTAAAAGTTCTTTCATATGGAAAGCCAAAATCAGAATTTATTTTTAGTTTTTAGTTCCCTTGTCCCAAAAGAAAGAATGTATTGATTTTGTTAGATGAGTTTAAAATCGTGTCATTTTTATTATAATTTGGAAGCGAATACATTATGCATTCTTCACATACAGAATGATTTTTTTTCTGCAGTGCTAGGGACGAAATCCAGGGCCTTGCACAAGTCAGGCACCTGCTCTACCACTGAGCCATGTCCCAAATCAATAAGACTTTTTTTTGGTGGGACTGGGATTTGAACTCAGGGCTTTGTGCTTGCAAAGCAGCCGCTCTACCACTTGAGCCACTCCTACAGTCCAATTTGGTGTGATTATTTTGGAGATGGGGTCTATTTGCCCAGACTGGCCTCGAGCCTCAATCCTCCTGATCTCAGCCTCCCAAATGACTAGGATTACAGGAGTGAGCCACTGCACGCAGCTGAACATTGTGCTTGCAAGTATATATCTGTAATTCAGAATGGTTACATGGAGCCAAAAACAACTATATTATCTCACATAGTTATTTTGTTTCTTTCTTTTTTGTTCTGGGGCTTGAACTCACTCCTTCACCTATAGCCACTCCACCAGCCCTATTTTTGTGAAGGGTGTTTTTGAGATAGGGTCTCATGAACTATTTTCCTGGTAATCCTCCTGATCTCTGCCTTCTGAGCAGCTAGGATTACAGGCGTGAGCCACCGGTTTCCAGCTCTTTCTTTCTTTTTTTTTTTTTTAACACAAGGTCTTACTACGTAGCCCAGGCTGGCCTGAAAAATGCAAAAATCCTCTTGCCTCAGTTTCCTGAGTGCCGGGATTAAAGGTGTGCACCACCAGGTTTGGCTACGTAGTTATTATTTTTTTGTGTTGAGAGGCTTAACATCCACTCTCCTTGTATTTTTCAAGACTACTAGGGCTGGGGTGTAGCTCAGTGGTAGGGTGCTTGCTTGACTAAATAAATAAACAAATATTCCTCCCCAACTTTTTTTTTCTTGTATGTGCATAATCAGATTCCCTCTGTAGCACTTAAGACTTTCTGGTGAATGGGGCCAAGGAATCTGCTTTTTTAACCAAACACTGTTACTTTTTGCTCTCGTCAGACTCTATTTCTCCCTTGTCAGAACCTATTGTTTGGGTTCTGGAATTCTATCCTGTGCTGCTCATGGGCAGTACCCACTGCTGACATCCGCCGGAGCCCACAGTCGTTTCCTCATTTCCCTTGGAGCCACCCCACCTTCCTCTCAACAATGGTGTCTGCTGGGGAAGCCCAAGCCCGTGCCTGGACACTGAGAGCTGCTGCTCTGTTAGCTCCATGTCCTTAGTGTCACCAGCCCCAGAGGCCTTCTGAGCATAAGCACGGTGACAGACAGTAAGCGACTTTTGCTGAGCCCTACACGCGATGCAATTTCAGAGAGGTCATCCGTTCACCCAGAGTCACATAGCATGTAAATTTTTGAACTATGCTTTGATCCTGGGTCTTTCTGATGTCACCCTTATATATTCATGTAACCAAGAGAAAGCCACTGGGAAAGGAGAGAAGGATCCATTATCAGGCAGGGAGTTGACGGCACAGCCCAAGGGCCTCAAGGGTGTTGATCTATTTATTTATTTTTAAAGTTTTATATTTGGAATCATGCTGGAATTTGAACTCAGGGCTTTGAGCATGCTAGGCAGACACTCTTGCCCTTTTGTTTTAGTTATTTTTCAGGTAAGTTTTTACCCAGGACCAACCTCAGACTGCAGTCCTCCTACCTTTACTTTCCAGGTAGCTGGGATTATAATATGAACTGCTATAGCTATACCCAGCTAATTGATTAAGATAGGGTTTCACTAATTTTTTTTCCCTTGGGGCTGGCCTCAAAACACAGTGCTCTCAACCTCATAGCTGCGATTACAGGCAGAGCCACTGCTCAGGGCTGGGGCCTTAGGTGTTTGGTTTTGGTGAGATCGAACCATTTACAAACTAAGCAAGCCGCCAAGCCAGGCAGTGCCCCTGGAGGAAGATCAAGTTTGTCTTCAGGAACCTGCCCAAGTTTCCATCTCAGGCTCCTCTGGGCCTCCTGGAGGGAAGTAATTAAACAAGTAGGTGGTTTGTTTGCAGTTCTTGCTGCACAGAACCTACTCCTACAGAATTGTCTCATGTTGGGCTCTGTCACTTAAAATAGACCATGTGATTTTTTTTCCACACACTGTGTCCTGGTCTTTGCCTTACAACCTCAAACAACCTGCAATTACATATTTATCCTCTTGACCACTCCCTGTGATCTTGGACTCTTCTGACTTGGCCACTGCTGTGATCCTAGTGTCTAGATTTTGCTGTAAGACACTCAAAAAATACTTGTTGGGCAGGGACTGGGGATGTAACTCGGTGGCATGCACCAGGCCCTAAGTTCCATCCCCAGCACTGACAAACAAACAAAAAACTTGCTGATTGACTATCTGAGCACACAGGCTATCAGGCCTGTGTTGCAGAGGTCCCCTTGCCCTCTTCTGGGTGAGCCTGCTGAGCCTGGAAGGTTTGCTAAGTCGCGGTCCATCATGGCTCAGTCCCATTCTTTGGCCAAATTCAAGGCTGAATGAATCCTATCATTGTCCACTCTGCCCTACATCCCCCTATCCCAGCCAGACCTCGTGGAGACCAGATTCCTCAGGTGCTGACCACCATCAGCCAAGGCACACCACATCAGAGACCATCATCCATACCCAAGGGGTGCACACCACCAGCCGCAGAGCAAAAACCAAGAGCCAAGGGGGCCCTGCCTGAGGTCTGGGCTGGCAGCTTCTAGAAGCCAGAAGGGTGGTGGGGAGGTGGCCAGGTCCTGGTGCCTCCCTCTTGGCAGGACTGGGCAGGGAGTGTTCCCCCAGCCTTTCTATCTGTCTCTTCCTGCAGCTTCCTGAGGCCACAGTCTCTGGAGGATTAGAAAGCACAGAGCTAGCCTACTTGTTTTTCTTCATTTTGAGCAGTTTCCGGCCCCCTCCCCAAGCCCTCAAGTCTAGCAGTTTCCAGGAAGTTCCTGTCACACAAGGTGGGAGCAACGGTGACCCTTCTACCCCAGGGCAGTGCCACTTGACTCTTGGCCTGAATTGGGCTCTGGGGACACAAAATGGAGAAGAGAAAGGAGAAACTGAGGAACAACATCTCTCCCATGGGAACCCAGGGGGGGAGGACCTCACTGTAGGGCTTGATTGAGGAGAGGCCTGGTCCCATCCCCAGCTGGAAGTGGTTAAGGCCACCCTCACGGCTTCAAGGAGGGGGTTCCCAATCTCCCGGACCCCTTAAATCCGCATGCAGGCACCCCTAATTCTTTGCACAGGGCAGATAAAGTTTATCAATTGTTTCCGGCTTCCTTCCTGCCCCATCAACCGGAGGCGCCCTTGTTTCCGCCCTACCCTGGTGCCTGGCCAAACCCAGTGGGCTCCCACCCCAGTATTCGGTCTCTCCAGTCTTGCCTCAGTTTCCCCATCTGGCCAAAAGCCCAGGATCGTTCCTTCTGTGTATGTGTGCAGGGGAGGAGGGATATGGATAGGAGGAAGAGGGGGACAGAAAGGTCTAGAAGAGGAGCGGGAATTGGGGAGGTCTAGGCCCTGTTTCTTTTCCCAGCCACGATCGCCGAGCCTCCCCTCCCCCGCGCGCCATCTGAGCCGCCCAGATAACGGGTCCTCGGCTGAAGGAGCATGCGCCGTGCGCCCCGGCCCGTCATCCCAAAGGGAGCAGGGGATCCCGGGAGGGGATGCACGGCCACCAGGCTGGAGCAGAAAGCGTGGGATGCGCGCAGCACGGGATGCACAGGCCCGAGCGCGGAGGGGACCTTGGCTGCAGCGCGGCTGTTTGAGGTCTCAGATGTCCCCCTCCTCCCTCAACATCTACCCCTCCAACTCAGCAGAGGCGACTCCTACCGTAGGCTCCGTCCTTCCGATCGTCCTCCATGACCGCAGCGGGCAAGGAGGGGAGGCCCAGCCAGCGCGACCCCAGCCCCGGCGGGCGGGAGGCTCCGCGGGCAGCAGCGCCCCGCCCCGGGCCCCGGCCCCGCCCCGCCTGCCTGCCTGGTCAGCCCCGCCCCCGCCCGCTCCCTCCAATGGGAGCCCGGCGCCGGAGGGGGCGTGGCCTGGGGGCGGACCCGGGCTCCGGAGGGGAGAGACCCAGCCTTTGTTTCCAGGCTGGTGTGCGTGATGGGCAAGGGGAGGTCCGCTAATCTGTCATTCATTCATGCATTCGTGGATTACACAAGCAGGCATTGGGCGCCAACTGTGTACCAGTGAACACACAGAAAGATGTTTTTCATTCATCACATAGGCAAGAATCTGAGTTTAGTAACAGCCAACCGGAATGGGCAAATATTCTCTAGCAGAAAGATGAAATCCAAACCACTTCATCCATCTCGTACAATCCCTGTCTGGCATTGACCCTGGGGAAGCCATCGCAGGCCTGTGCGCCTGGGGTGTACGTGCCAAAGGGCATCATCTTCAGCCTTGATCATAACTGTGCATAATGGATGAAAATGAACACGTCCTCAACAGAAGAGGTGGATGCGGCACGATTCACAAGGGGGAATAGCGTGCAGTGGATAAAAAGGATGCAGTCACCAGGTGACATGGGACACAGATTAAAACCTCGATTCATCACCAAGCACACCCACCAGAATAGCCGAAATTAAAGCCTGTCCACATAGTGAGACCCCCTCTTCTCCAAAATGAAATTTTTCCAGGCATGGTGGTACTTGAATGTAATCCCAGAGCTCCGGAGGCTGAGGCAGGAGGATTATGAGTTTGAGCCAGCCTGGGCTACACTGCTAAACTCTGTCACCAAAAACAAAGCGAAGTGGTTTTTTTTGTGATACTAGAATTTGAACTCAAGACCTCACATTTGCTAGACAGGTGCTCTAGCACTTGAGCCAGGACTCCCCAAGCCTGTTTTTGTGTTGGCTGTTTTCAAGATAGGGACTTCTGGAACTATTTGCCGGGACTGGCCTCAAACCCCAATCCTCCTGATCTCTGCCTCCTGAGTAGCTAGGATTACAGACAAGAGCCACTGGCATCCAGTTCAAAATCTTTTATTTTTTAGTAAAAGGAAAGAACTATTGATAACATGTGAAAACATATGAATTTAAAAACATGGCGTTATGCTTAACAAAAGAAGCCTTTTTCCATACACTTCTAGAATAAGTATAGCTAATCAACTATGTCAGTTGAACACAGAACAGTTGCTGCTTTTAGGGGTGGGAGTGATCAGACAGAGGAAGGGAGAGGCAGGGCATCTGGGTGACAGAACAGAATTGTGGTTTCACGGGTGGGTTCAGTGTGTGAGAATTTGACTTCTGCCCTTTCTTTGTATATGTTACAGTTAAAAATGGAAAAGTCCTGGACTGGGGCTGTGGCTTAAGTGGTGGCATGCTCGCTTTGCAACTGCTAAGTAGGCCCTGAGTTCAAATCACAGTATTGCTCCCCGCCAAAATAAAAATTTTAATTGGGCACAGCCTGTAATTCCAGCTACTCAGGAGTGGAGGTAGGAAAATCATGGTCCCAGGACAGCCCAAGACCCAATCTAAAAGCCAAGCTAAAGCAAAAAGGGCTAAGGGCATGACTCAAGTGGCAGAGCACCTGCCTAGATTGTGTGAGGCTCTGGGTTGGATTCCCATCCCCCCCCAAAAAAAAAAAAACAAAACTGAAGTGGTTTGGAAAGGTTATGACAAAACCGAATGTTTATAGAGAGCTTACCCAGCTCAGGAAAGGCATTAAATGGTTTATATTAAATCTTTATACCACTTTCCAGCAGGGAGAAGTGACTCAGAGAAGTTAAGCAACTTACCCACTGTGATGCAGTGTGCATGGGGCAGTAGGAGGAGTTGAACTCCTCAAAGTGTGAACCACATCTCACACACTCCCCACCCCAGCTACACCCCTTCCGGAAGAGTTCAGCTGTTCAGATTGTACCATTAAGTACAACCAGCAAATTACACTCAGTCATTCAGTCATTCCCACAGAGCATGGGAAAAAGAGTGAGAGAGGAAGTGAGTCTAGGGAAAACCTCTCACACGAACACACATCTATATTTTACTAAACAAAAAAGACTTTGAAGCTGGGTGCCAGTGGCTCTCGCCTGTAATCCTAGCTACTCAGGAGGCAGAGATCAAGAGGATTGAGGTTGGAGGCCAGCCTGGACAAATAGTTCATGAGACCCTATCTTGAAAGAATCCATCACATAACAAGGCTGGCAGAGAGGCTCAAGTGGTAGAGCACCTGCCTAGCAAGTGTGAGGTCCTGAGTTCAAACCCCAGTACCATAAAATAAATAAATAATATAAGATATATGGTATAACCCAGTTGTGAAAGAGGAAATTCAGGCACTCAGAAAGCATAAGACATAATTCAGAGAACATAAGACAGGGTTAGAATTTTGCAATGAGGGGTCACATGCCAGAAGAAAGAAAGAGAGAGAGGAACTGAAGCTACGGAAGTCACTATGTCTGGGGCAAAGTGTTCAAGTGGTGCCCTGTGGCTGAGGTCAGCAGGATCTGAATGTTCCAGGTGGGGTAGTGCAAGGGCAATGAGGAGCCATGGAGGATGTGAGAGTGAGTGAGGACCATAGTAACTGTGAATTCCACAGAGATCCCTTCAGTGGGGTGGAGAAGGAAATGCAGATGGAGCCTAGGGCAGGGTCCCTGGAGGGAGAACAAGACATTTAGGCTGAACTGGGAAAGGGACACTGCCTCTGGGAGACGGGGGTGGTAGCAGCTGAGGCAGGCCAGGCTGGGCAGAGGCAGGACACAGAACTGCTCTGTTCTCTGGCTTCACTGAAGCTTTCGGGCTCATGAATTTTTCAGCCAAACCAGCCTTGAGTTTCAGATTCCAGGGCTCTGGGCCTGAGCTTTTGTGTTCTGTTTACTGTCTGAAAGCATCTCAGGCCCCCAGGAGAGGGATTCTTTCGGAGTTCTGCAATGGCTAGGCTGGAGTGACCCATTCCTGCACACACACACCCCTCTGCACACACATACACCATCACCAAGAGCAGGACGCTGGTAGGAATGTGGAGGCCTCCCTCTTGTGGGCAGAGGCGGTATAAAATCTTGGGCTTTGTAGGGCTGGAATTCCAGCTCTGACACTTTTCTGGCTGGGTGACTTTCTGAAAGTCACTTACCCTCTCTGAGTTGAGTCTTAGTTTCCCACCCATCAAGTGAAGATTATAGGTTTCTGTAACTCAAACCTTTGTCCCGTGGATTCCTGCTTCGGGGACATTTAGGGCAGTGCCTGCATATAATAACACTGGGTGTGATGGTGCACACCTAAGTATAAGTACTTGGGAGGCAGAGGCAGGAGGATCCCAAGTTCAAGGACAGCCAAGTTCAAATTAGTGAGACCCTATCTCAAAAGCAAAAATAAAATACTGAAGGGCAGGGGGCGTAGCTCAGTGGTAGACCACTTGCTTCATATGCACAAGGCCTTGGATTCAAACTCAGCAATAAAATAAGAAACCCCAAGGCAGGCACAAGTGGCTCACACCTATAATCCTAGCTACTTGGGAGGCAGAGATGAGGAGGATCCAGGTTCGAGGTCCGCTGGGACAAATAGTTCAAGAGACCATATCTTGAAAATACCCATTGCAAAAAAAAAGGGCTGGCCGAGTGGTTCAAGTGGTAGAGCACCTGCCTAGCAAGCCCTTAGTTCTAACCCCAGTACTGTCAACAAAACAAAATGTGTATCTAGCAAGACAGAAGAATAAGTGTGGTGGTGCATACCTGTAATCCCAGCACTTGGGAGGCTGAGGCAGGAAAATTGAGAGCTCAAGGCCAGTCTGGGCTACAGATCAAGACCCTGTCTCAAAAAAACAAAACTGGGCACTGATGGCTCGTACCTGTAATCCTAATTTGGGAGGTTGAGATTGGGAGGATCAGCATTGCAGTCCAGCTTGACAAATAGTACGTGAGACCCCCCATCTTCAAAATAACCAGAGCAGTTTCTGCTGGGTATTGGGGGGGGAAGAGGGAGGGGGCGGTGTGGGTGGTAAGGGAGGGGGTGGGGGCAGGGGGGAGAAATGAACCAAGCCTTGTATGCACATATGAATAATAAAAGAAAAATGAAAAAAAAAAAGAAAACAAACAAACAAACAAAAAATAACCAGAGCATTAAAAAAATAATAATAATAACCAGAGCAAAAATGGACTGGCAGTGTGGCTCAAGTGGTAGAGCACCTGCTCTGCCAGTGTGAAGCCCTGAGTTCAAACCCCAATCCTACCAAATAAAAAAAAGTACAGTCTCTAGGTTAAGGAAGAGTTTGACAGCATACTTTTTGAGAAGCTACTGGGTTAGTTTAATGGTAAGTAAGTAAGATGCTAACAGAGGAGGGTTCTGAGGAAATTAAGGTGCAAGGAGACAGAGGTGCCAGAACATCCCTGGCGGAGTTTCAAAGAGAGGTTCATGAGCTGTCTCTTTTTTCCTTTTTCCAGAGGACTGAGGTTGCCAGGTAGAGTGGAGTTAATAAGCAACTCCCATGCTGTGTCACCTGATGAGTAATTTAAGAAATAAAGTCTGGCCCTTTGTCACTCTGTAAACAGGAAGTCCAAATCTAGAAACAATAGATTACAATAAGACCTTAGGAACTTTAAAAAAAATTATTTTTGGCAGCAGTGGGGTTGGAACTCAATGCCTCATACTTGCTAGGCAGGCGCTCTACACTTGAACCATTCATTCTGCCAGCCCTGTTTTGTATTGGGTATTTTTGAGATAGGGTCTCTTGAAACTATTTGTACAACTGGCCTCAAACCATGATCCTCCTGATCACCTAGGATTACAGGTGTGAGCCAAGGGGCCAAGTACACACACACAAACACCCAGAACTGTTAATTTTAACAAAGTAAGAGAGATCACCCAGGGTGCAGATGAAAATCCTGCCCAGTTCCTTCCCTGCTTATCTGACAAGCGCTACCATTTCACTCATTTAGACCTTGACTCCATGGAAGGAAAATCTATTCTGGCTGTGAACTTCATCTCCCAATTGGCCCTTGACAGTTAGCACAACTCCAGAAACTTGTAAGGGACAGATACCCCCATTCTGAGAAATGGTGGATGTGACTTTTCAAAATTTCAGCACTAGTGATGGAGAATCAAGAAAGGCTAAAATTAAGTAAATCAACTTAAAAGGAAGGTGTAAAGTCTATGCAGCTGATGGTTGGTACTACTGGCAATGCCATTAAAGAGGACCTACCCCAGGCCACTGGACAACCCAGTGCCTCTGACTATGGCGCCAAAAATGGGGCCTGCTTCTGCTGTAAGCAACCTGGCCACTGGAGCAGTAAATGCGCTCAAATGCAACCATCTCCAGGACTTTGTCCCCAATGCAGATAAGAGACAAGCTGGAAGAGGGATTGTCCTTTCCTTAAGAAAGGAGGGAAGAGAGCCAGGCGCTGGTGGTTCATGCCTGTAATTCTAGCCCCCTCAAAATAATAAAATAAATGAATAAGTAATATTATTAATAATAAAAGTACCATCACTTGTCCTGCTTTGTTACCTACAGTTCTTGGGGCCAAATGGAAGAATTTTAGGGAAAGAATAAATTTAGTCCAGGCACCGGTGGCTCACACCTGTAATCCTAGCCACTCAGGAGGCAGAGATCAGGAAGATCAAGGTTTGAAGCCAGCCTAAGAAAATAGTCCTATCTTGAAAAAAAAAAAAACTATCACAAAAAGGGATGGTGGAGTGGCTCAAGGTGAAGGCCCTGAGTTCAAACCCCAGGACTGCCAAAAGACCAAACAAAACAAAAACCACAAAGAATAAATTAACTAGTAAAATTTATTGAATGAATGAATTAGTTGAACAAATATTGAACATTCAGTGACAGGCACTGGGGACACAACATATGAATAGGGAAAATTCCCCTATTGGGTTTGACATGTGTGATGGACAGACAGGAGGAAGGAGATGGATGGATGAATAAATGGACAAGTGGGTGGATGGATAGGTTGTTGGATAGGTAGATGAATGGGTGGGTGGATGGGTGGGTGAATTGGTGGGTAGATGGATGAATAAGTGGGTGGGTGGATGGATAGATGGATGTGTGAATAGATACATGGATGGATGGATGGATGAATGGATGGGTGAGTGGATGGATGGGTGGATGGATGGATGAATGGATGGGTGAGTGGATGGATGGATGGATGGATGGATGAATGCATGGGTGAGTGGGTGAGCGGATGGGTGGATGAATGCATGGGTGAGTGGCTGGATGGATGGATGGGTGGATGGATGGATGGATGGATGGATGAATGGATGGGTGACTGGATGGATGGATGGATGGATGGATGAATGCATGGGTGAGTGGGTGAGCAGATGGGTGGATGAATGCATGGGTGAGTGGGTGGATGAATGCATGGGTGAGTGGGTGGATGAATGCATGGGTGAGTGGGTGGATGAATGGATGGGTGGATGCATGCATGCATGCATGGACAATTGGAAGGGATCTCCTTACATCCACACAGGCTCTCTTAATTGCCTAGGGAGTGTGAGGCGGGCTAGCTGTCCCACCCCACGTCGCCCCCTCCCCAGCCTGCAGCGATCTTCGCGTCGGCAGACTGCGCCGCTCACCTGGTGGCCTCCCCTTTAAGACGCACTCACCTGGGTGCTCACCTGGGCGCGGGCGCTTCCGCAGGAAGAAGGAAGCTGCGCCGCGGTCGCCTCTTGGCGCTCGGTCCCCGCCTCCTAGGTCCACCGGCCGCCACCATGTCTGCCTCGGCCGTCTTCATTCTCGACGTCAAGGGCAAGGTGAGGGGGGCGCCAGGAATTGAGGGAGCGACAGGTGAGGCCGCGCACTGTGCGCGCGGGCCAGGGATACCGCAGGGGGGACACCGCGGTCCCCAGCAATCCATGGGACCCTTGGGTCGGATCCCATCTCCAGCATTTACACATCGTGTGCCCGAGACAAGGGGCTTCGCCTTTCTGAACCTCAGTTTCTCTGTGTGAGAAGTGGGAATTAGAAAGGCCCCCACTCACTGAGACTCGGCGTGTGAACCACTTAGTCCTGCTGCAAACCTAAGGCGTCAATAAATGGAGATAAAAGTCCTTAACAATCACCCCTGGGGAAGGCAAAAGAGTCCCTTCGAAGCTGCTGTGTCCCTTCCTGATGTCTCCTTCGTTTAATGGGATTGATAACAACATGGGGAAATTAAATTTCCTGCTCATAATAATAGTGACAGCTGAGAGGGTGTGGGGGTGCAGGCCTGTAGTTCCAGCTACTCGGGAGGCTGAGGTAGGAGGATCTCTTGAGCCAGGAGTTCAAGAACAGCCTGAGCAACAGGCAAGACCCTGTCTCAAAACAAACAAACAAAGCAAAACGAAAAATAATCCCAGCTTCATCGTCTTGGTACTTTTGAAGCCTTAGACAAGATCAGGTTTGATGTCATTTCCCACTCCCTGTGGCCATATTTACAGCCTCAGTCCCCCCAATGTGGAAAACAGTGAGAACTGAAGAAATTAGGAAATGTACAGTCTGATTGAGGGGTTTTTTTTTTCAATTTTTTTTGGTGGGACTGGGGTTTGAAAGGGCTTTGCTCTTGCAAAGTGGGCACCCTACTTCTTGAGCCACACCTCCAGTCCGTTTTGCTCTGGTTATTTTGGAGATGGGGTGGGGGTGGGCCGGGTCGCATGAACTATGGCTGGCCTCGATCCTCCATCCTCTTGATCTCAGCCTCCCAAGTAGCTAGGATTACAGGAACCCAGCTGTGTGATTGCTTTTTCTGGTGCTGGGGATGAATCCAGGGCCTGGCACATGGCCAGGTAAGTGCTGAACCACTGAGTTGCACCTCCTCAGTCCCAAACACTCACTGTGTAGTAAACAGACTAGACCTCAGTGAGGGCTGTTGCTATCACATGTCCACTTAACAGGCGGGGAAACCGAGGCACGCAGAGGCAGTGCCTCGCCCAGGTGCCTCAGCTAGGAAGCCTGGTCAAAATTAGGTACTCCAAGACCCTCATGGGGTGGGTTCTCGGATACTGGTGGTGACCCCTTCCTCTCTGCCCATCCTCAGCCCTTGATCAGCCGCAACTATAAAGGCGACGTGGCCATGACGGAGATCGATAACTTCATGCCTCTGCTCATGCAGCGGGAGGAAGAAGGCGCGCTGGCCCCGCTGCTGAGCCATGGCCGGGTCCACTTCCTGTGGATCAAACACAGCAATCTCTACCGTACCCAGCCCAGGCGGGGGCTGCACATATGCAGTGACTCAGGGGGGAATGGGGACAGTTGGGGGGGTGGCAGGGGACAGTGGAGTTCCCCCCCCCAGCAAAAGCACCTTTTCCTTAACCTTGCTGACCCCAGTGGTGGCCACCACGCTGAAGAACGCAAACGCCTCTCTGGTCTACTCCTTCCTCTACAAGACGGTGGAGGTAGGTACTGGCCGCTCATTGGCCGGCTGGTCTGTCAGTCTACCTTTTGTGCCCTCCCCTTTCCAAAGCCCTGACCTTAGGTGAGTGAGCTCTTGCCCGTCCCTCTCCACCACTGTTTTCTTAGATGCTTAGGAGGTCATTTGTCCCTCTAGCACAGGAGCCAAGGAGATTCCCAAGTATATGTCCTCCAGCTGAGCCAGAGGACTTGGGCTCCAATCCTAGCTCTCCCACTTTTTTGCTGTGTGACTTTGAACAAGTCCCTGTCCCTGTCTGAACTGGAGGTTATTATGAGCTGGCTCAGAGGCATTGCACCAATTAGTCAAATGAATATCTATGAGGACAAAGATATTCAGTTTAGTCATTTCCATGGAGATTGGCTCCAGGACCACCCAAGATGTCCAAAGCCACCTTGCTCAAGTACGTATATAAAAAGGCTGTAGCATTTGCACAGAACTCAGCCTCTCGTATGCTTTCAACCAGCTCTAGATGAACTGTGTTAAGGCTGTGCAAAAAAGCTGTTAGATTGTATTGTTTAGGGAATAATTTTTTCTTTTTCAAATATATTTATTTATTTTGTCAGTACTGGGGTTTGAAGTCAGGGCTTCCGTTTATGCCCAGACTAGCCTACACTTTGATCTTCCCACATAGCTGGGAGGACAGGTGTATGTCACCAAGCCCAGCTTGTTGAGATGTTATCGCCACTGACCCCGGGGTTCTTTTTGTAAATTTTTGACTCATAACCAGTTGAATCCACTGGTTAGACAGAAAATGTGTGGCTACAGAGCCCAAGTGCATACAGTAAGTGCTCAACAAGGTTTATTATTACAGAGAGTATTATTATGAATCAATATAATAGTCACACACTGTGCTTTTCTGAGGACTTACTATGTGTGACTCTTTTTTTTCCTCCCCCCCCCCGCCATGCTGGGATTTGAACTCAGGGCCTACACCTTGAGCCACTCCACCAGCCCTTTTCTGTGAAGGGTTTTTTGAGATACAGTCTTGCAAACTATTTGCCCAGGCTGACATTGAACTGTGATCCTCCTGAATAGTTAGGATGACAGGTGTGAGCCACCAGTGCCTGGCTACACGTGCTACTCTTGATAAATGTGACTATTTGTTAGCCAGGTATGGTGACACACACCTGTAATTTCAGCACTTGGGAGTCTGAGGCTACAGGATCGAGAATTTGAGACTGGTTTGGGCTACATAGTGAGGCCCCATCTCAATAAAAGTAAAGAAATACTTAATGATTGGCCTTCCCTCTGCCAGGTAAAGGGGGACACGGGTATGGAGGGGACAGGTAAAGTCCTGGCTCTCTTGGCCATTGATGTTAATCAAAGGAATCAGAAAATGTCCTGGTGAGTTAGAGGGCATGGAGGAGACCGAATGGAACACTTTGATTAGGACAGGGGTGCTGTCTCACAGAAGGGGAAGGAACAGATCATAGAAAAAGGGACATCTGAGCTGAGGCCTGAATGACAACCCACTGTGAGGTGAGCTGGAAGGACAGCATGCTAGGCAGAGGATACAGCAGATGCAAAGGCCCCGAGGTGTGACTAGAAAAAAGGCCAGTGGGCTTGGTGCAGGTTCAAATGTTGAATGAGTGACAATTTCTCTGCTGAGTGATACAGATAACAGAATCCCTTATCTGAAATTCTTGAGTGTTTCAGATATTCGATCTGTTCACATTGTGGGATATTTGCATATGCATAATGAGTTATGTCAGGGATGGGATCCACTCAAGTCTAAACATGATATTTACAACTTATTTAATAGTCTGGAGATCGTTTTTTTGGGGATTTGAACTCAGGGCCTCACACTTGCAAGGCAGCCCTTTTTTATGTTGGGTATTTTTGTGATAGGGTCTCCAGAACTATTTGCCCAGGCTGATTTCAAACCTCAATCCTTCTGATTTCTGCTTCCTGAGTAAGTTGGATTACAGGCATGAGCCACTGGTGCCCAGCAGGAGATAGTTTTATATCTTGGTTTCTTTTCTTTTTTTTGGGCAGTATTAGGGTTTGAACTCAGGGCTTCACACTCAAAAAGCAGGTGTTCTGTAGCTTGAGCCACACCTCCAATCCCTTTTGCTCTGGTTATTTTGGAAATGGAGGTCTTACATACTATTTCTCTGGGCTGGCCTCAAACCTTGATCCTCCCAATCTCAGCCTCCAAGTAGCTGGGATTACAGGTATGAACCCCCAGTGCCTGGCATAAAGGGTGTTTTAATTCTTCTTTCCACACATCTTCCCAGACCTCTCTGCACTCTGGTCCTCTGCAGTTTCTCATGCTTTCTTTCTCACTGCTCCCAGCATGTCGGGTCACATTGGTCCCATATTGGTGACCTGTCCATTTTCCTCAGCAGGCTGTGAGGACAGAGACAACCCCCCCCCCCAACTGATTGGTTGACCATTCATGTCTCAGTCCAAGTATGCAGCAGGTGCTCATAACTTGTGTGTTGAATGAATGGCTGAGTGGACAGCCAGCCCATGACCATGACCTATGGGGGTTGGGGGTGTCTGTCTGCTGCCACCCCAGGTCTTCTGTGAGTACTTCAAGGAGCTGGAGGAGGAGAGCATCCGTGACAACTTTGTCATCGTCTACGAGCTGCTGGACGAGCTCATGGACTTCGGCTTCCCGCAGACCACGGACAGCAAGATTCTGCAGGAGTGAGTGGGTGCTGGGTGCAAGCGCACAGGGCAGGGCTGGGGAGGCGTCCCTGGGTGTAGCTGCTGGTGCCTGATGCTGTCCCACCAGGTACATCACGCAGCAGGGCAACAAGTTGGAGACTGGCAAGTCGCGGGTGCCACCCACTGTCACCAACGCTGTGTCTTGGCGCTCTGAGGGCATCAAATATAAGAAAAACGAGGTCTTCATTGATGTCATAGAGTCTGTCAATCTGCTGGTGAGCCCCACACCTCCATGGCACCCCACCAAGGCCTGGGGGGGGAGGGCAGGAGGCAGGGCCTTTTACCTGCTGGCCCCCTTCCTTCCATATGACCTCCCTCCCCCTCCCCCAGGTCAATGCCAACGGCAGTGTCCTACTGAGTGAGATTGTAGGCACCATCAAACTCAAGGTGTTTCTGTCGGGAATGCCAGAGCTGCGGCTAGGCCTCAACGACCGCGTGCTCTTTGAGCTCACTGGCCGTAAGATTTGGGGGGACCTCCTTCCCAGGGGTGCACAAGGGAACCCGAGGCCCGGCTGGTGGTATCTGGGGACCCAAATTGCAGCCAGTTCTGAAATAAGTACTCGCGCCTCGCGCGTCCTCTGCTGGTCAAGTCCAGTACTGCAGCTTCAAGTTCACTGGAACAATGCTTTTTTTTTTTTTTTAAATATTGAGCAGGTTTTGTTCCACGCGCAGTCCTGACCTTTGTAGTGGGAGGAGGAGACCCATTAACATTATAATTAAAGGCCTGACGGCGGGAGCCAGGCTCTCTGGGTCTCAGTTTCCCTATGTGTCATGTGGGGTGAAGGTGGTAGTGGGTGGGGAAGGTGAAGGTTGAGTCCCTTCCCTGACCCCCCAGGGTCACTCTGCTTGCTGGGTTCCGAGTTTCAGGCAGCAAGAACAAGTCCGTGGAGCTGGAGGACGTGAAATTCCACCAGTGTGTGCGACTTTCTCGCTTTGACAATGACCGAACCATTTCCTTCATCCCACCTGATGGGGACTTTGAGCTCATGTCCTATCGCCTCAGCACCCAGGTGAGGCAGGGTCAAACCCCAGGATGGTGGGGTGGGCTGAGGGCTGACATCAGAGTCTGCCAGAACTACAACGGTCCTTTCTGTCTACAGGTGAAGCCACTGATCTGGATTGAGTCTGTCATTGAAAAATTCTCCCATAGCCGAGTGGAAATCATGGTCAAGGTGGGCTCTGGTGGAACACTTATTAAGAGAATCTATTCCATCCTGTCCTCTTCCCTATCTGAGCTCACCTCACCCTCCTCGCTCACACTGCCAGCCACGCTGGACTCCTGGTTGATTTTCAAGTGTGCTGGCCACAGGGCCTTTGTACCTGCCATTCCTACTCTTCTTTCAGCTGGGGCCTCCCTCCCTCAGCCCTTTCAGGGCTCTGCTGTGCTGGGCATGCTATCCACTTTCTTTTCTTGTCCTCAGAGTCCTTGACTCCTGATGTTCACGGAGTATTCTCTGCAATGTTTCAATAATGAAAAGACTGTTAGCTGGTCACATTGATTTTAATTCAGCCTGTACTTTATATAAGAGACTAACAGGCACATGGGAAGAAAACAAAAGGTATGGTCATTGTCCCCAACCTAAGGGGCTTGCAGGCCACTTGAGATAGGTGATGAGTGATGGGCAAATTTTCTTAGCTGAGCCTTCAAAATAGATCCCTAGGGGCTAGCAGTGTGGCTCAGTGGCAGAGCTCCTGCTTCCCATGATGAGGCCCAGGGTTTCATCTCCAGCAAGAAGAGACAGCAAAAGCCAGAGACCTTCCTGGGGCCCACAAGGCCCTGCACTGACTTTCCTGTCACCTCCCTGACTGTACTTCCTTTGTCCCCTGCACTCACTCCAGCCACAGTGGCCTTCTCACGGTTTCTGAAGAGCACCAAGCAAAGTCCTACCCCAGGGCCTTTGCATTGGCCTTTCCCTTTTCCTGGATCATCCAGCCCCTGCAACCCAGATATCCACCTGTCTCCTCCTGTTATTTGCTTAAATATCACCTCCTTACAGTCCTTTCTTGCCCTCAAGTGTATTCATTTATTTATTGTTTATTTGCACTGCTGGGGATGGAACACAGGGCCTCATGCAGGCTAGGCAGGTGCTGTACGCCCCCAGCCCCAACCCCTACTATAGAGAATTAGTGAGAGGGCTAACTGCTTGGCAATGAACCCAACACTTTGATGGGCTCAGTTAATGCCAGATACCACATGGAAACTGATGGGCTGGGCATGGCTGTGTGTGGCTGTAATCCCAGCTGCTCAGGAGGTAAAGGTGGAAAAAATGAGCTCTAGGCCAGCTGGGGGAAAATTATTGAGAACCTGTCTCAAAAACAAAACACAAACAAAAGGACTGGGAGTACAGCTCAGTGTTAGAGAACTTGCCTAGCATTTAAAAAAAAAAAAAAAAAGGTGAATGTTTGAGCGAATTTAATTTTTAAATTTATTTTGGTGGGACTGGGATTTGAACTCAGGGCTTCACACTTGCAAAGCAGGCGCTCTACTGCTTGGGTCACACCTCCAGTCAATTTTGCTTGGGTTATTTTGGAGATGGGGTCCTGAGAACTATTTGCCCAGCTGGTCTGATACTGCAATCCTCCCCATCTCAGCTTCCCAAGTAGCTGGGATTATAAGCGTGAGCCACTGTGCCCGGCTGTGAGTGAATTCTTCATACCCCTTGTCTCTCCCGGGTAGGCCAAGGGGCAGTTTAAGAAGCAGTCAGTGGCCAATGGCGTGGAGATATCCGTGCCTGTGCCCAGCGATGCTGACTCCCCGCGCTTCAAGACCAGTGTGGGCAGTGCCAAGTACGTGCCGGAAAAGAATGTAGTTATTTGGAGTATTAAATCCTTCCCGGTGAGTACCCAGGGACAGGCAGGGGTACTTGTGGGAGATAGGACTGCAAAGGGACCCGGGGCAAGTGGAGAAAAAGCCAGAGAGCCATCCTTTGGGAGTGATAAAGATGGAACCAGGGCCAGTCTTTTTCACACTTGGGTAAACTGAGGCTTCATGACCCAAAGTGGGTTTGAGTGCCCAACTTCTCCTCTAAGGTCCCAAGGAACTCATTCTGGTTAAGATTTCTCATTTTGCCTTTCTGCACTGAGTGGGCTTGGGAAACCCATCTCACCCTTTCCCCCACGGACTCAGTTTGCTTCTCTGTAAAATGGGCTGATGATCAAGTGCCCACATCCTTGACTCACTGGAGAATTTATTTTTTTTGGGGGGGGGGGATGGAGTTTGGTCTTTCGAGACAGGGTACTGCTGTTTGAACTCAGGGCTTGAGCCACACCTACAGCCCTTTCCTGCTTTGATTATTTTTCACATAGGGTCTTATCTCACATTTTTGTCTGGAACCAGAACCAAACTTCAGTCCTCCTACTTATGCATCCTCCCATTGCTGGGATGATAGTGAACTACCATGTCTGGTTTATTAGTTGAGATGGGGTCTCTAACTTTTTGCCTTGGCTAGCCTCGAACCTCAATCCCCCTGGTCTGTACCTCCCTACTGGCTGGGATTATAGGCATGCTCCACTGCATCTGCCCAACAGCCTTGATTTTTCACGTCTGTGAAATGAGTCAAGTACAGAACTTGTTCTGGGCGTTGGTTTGTGAGGATGTCTGGGGTGGGTCGAGGCCACCCCAGTGAGTCTGGTGACCATGTCTCCCCTCAGGGGGGCAAGGAGTACCTGATGCGGGCCCACTTTGGCCTACCCAGTGTGGAGAAGGAGGAGGTGGAGGGCCGGCCCCCCATTGGGGTCAAGTTTGAGATTCCCTACTTCACCGTCTCAGGCATCCAGGTGAGGAGAGTGTAGGGGGCACCTCTCCCTGACCTTAGTGGCTTCCCCCTCTCTCGTGTCCCTTGGTTCACGTCACCCCACATCCCTGGCCTGTGTTCTCATGGACCCTAAGCCTTTCCTATGGCCTCTTTCTCTGTGAGCCTTAGTCCCCTCCCTCTCTGTCTGGCCTGTGTCACCTGTGTCCCCTCCTTTGCTCATTTCCAGGTCCGTTACATGAAAATCATTGAGAAAAGTGGCTATCAGGCCCTTCCCTGGGTTCGTTACATCACCCAGAGTGGCGGTAAGACTGCCGGGCTCCCTGGGACAATGGGGTCCAGAAGGTGGGGGGGTGGAGACTCAGGGCTTGAGTCTCATTCTGCCTCAGACAACTCTGAAACTCAACAGGCTTAGCTCCAGGCCGGTCTCTCCTTGCTGTGCCACCCCAGGGCCTCAGTTTGCACATTTTTTCTTTTTTTGTGGTGCTGGGGTTTGAACTCAGGGCCTACACCTTAGCCACTCCACCAGCCCTATTTTTGTGATGGTTTATTGAGATAAGGTCTTGCAAACAATTTGCCAGGGCTGGCTTCAAACCTCGGTCCTCCTGATCTCTGCCTCCTGAGTAGCTAGGATTACAGGCGTGAGCCACTGGTGCCGGCTTTGTACATTTTTATAATGGATCAGTGGTCAACTTCAGGCTGGTGAACACCTAGCACCCCCAGGTCGTGTTGGGAAACCAGGTTGTTGCCAAGGTTATGGCGCCTGAGTTTCACCCCAGCCTGAGCTGGGTGAACTATTTTCAGGGCCAATTGAGTGCCACAGGCCTTTTGCACCTGCAGGGCCTTCCACTAGGAATGACTCTTTTCCTAATATCCACATTGCCCCTCAATTCAGGCCTCAAATGAAATGTCCTCTTTTCAGGGAGACCGTCCCTCTAGCCTTCCTGTTTAAACAGCATGGACTTTTTGGGGGGGGTAGTTTCCCTCTTTCCCCCTTTCTGAGATGTCTCTGCTCACTGTTTTTTCTGCAGATTATCAAGTTCGAACCAGCTAGAAGGGAGGAGCAGAGGCTTGGACACAGGGCTCCCTCTCCCCAGGCTCTGGCTGCAGATTTTAGAGGGTGGGGAAGTGGTGTGTGTGTGTGTGTGTGTGTGTGTGTGTAGCAATGAGTTTGATTCAGCAGTTCCCACCCTGATTTTTATATGAAGAAATATCAGAGGGGCTTGAAACTCCCCCTCACGAGTGCCTTCTTTTGCAGTGGTCTGCCTTAGGGGGTCCCGGGGGCCGCACCTTCATAGCTGCTGAGCCCAGAGGCCCTGCTGGGCCACTCCTCTGACTTTTAGGGTGTCATTAAAAAGAGTCTAGCTGCTGTGTTTGTGCTTCTCGGCTGGGGACTGGGAATGCCAGGGACATCCCTGACGTGCTGGGGCGGTGGGTCATCTTTGCTCACCTTTCACCCGGGACCCGTTTCCGCCTTCACTTCCCCCCCCCACAGCCGCCAGAGGGCGCCTTAACTTCTAAATCAGATGAGGCTCTTTTAAAACCTCCCGTGGTTCTCGCCTGAAAAGTTAAAAGGCCACCACAGTCCACAGGCTTGAGCTGCACTACCCTACCCCAACCCCACCTACTAGTTCCCCTTTCCTCCCACTCTCTAACTCATACCAGGCACACTCCGACCACAGTGCCTTTGCATCGGCGGTGCCCCCCCACCGTGGAATGCTTTTCCCCAGCAATCCACCGTGGAATGCTTTTCCCCAGCAATCCACACGGCCCGGGGTTGGAATGAGGCCTCTGTAGCTGCCTCCTGCAACTCTCCTTCCTGCCTCGCCCACGTGGCAGCTGTCGGGTTAACTTTCCTCCTTGCCAGAGCCGGCTGATCTAGAGCCTGAGTCCCTTCTCACATATCCCTATTACTCATTTAATTGTTTTTGTGCTGCTTAATGCTATCTAAAATTATTCAGTTATATGACCGCTCTCGAACGCCCAGAACCGTTCCTGCACGCAGGATCAATGAATGAAATAAAACTCCCAGCGTAGAGTAAGAGCTAATAAATGCTCCCCGGGTGAGTGACTGAATCGTAGAACCCGGGACTGGGAAGTCCTAGCCCTGCTTCCCTTCTCCCCCGGAGGCGCCGAAATATCGGAGCAGCCCGCACTACCCTGTCCCTGACCTTTCTCCCTTGGGTCAGTTAAACCGGCTCTCTTTCCCGCCCGCCCTGCCGGTTTGAAAAACCGAAAACCCCGCCATTGCCGGCGGTCCACCGGTCGTCGCGCTCTAGCCAATCAGGAGCCGCGCCGCCCACACCAGCGCTCGAAAACCTCCCCAGTGACGCGCGTTCATTGGCTGTGCGGGCCGTGTGGGACGGAGCGCCGTAAGGTCGCAGGCTGGGCAAAGGGGCTCGGCTACAAAGTCTCGAGTTTGTAAGAAAACAAACAGCAGCGTTCGGGGGCGTGGCCGGCGGCGCGCTGGCTCCGCCCCCTGGCGGCTTAGTCGGCTGCGGCTGCCGCGCAGGCTCAGAACAGACCCCGCCCGTGGAGAAGGAGGGAGGGTGAGTTGGGGGGAGACCCGGCCCCCAAGGGGCGGGCGCCGGGCTGGGCCCTGCGGGCAGCTGAGGGTTGAGCCGGGTTCCCAGCCCCTCACCGCAAGCCGGGTTGACAGGGGGAGGAGCCGGCTGCGAGAGCGGGGGTCGCACGGGAGCCCGGGACTGGCAGAGCCAAGGCGGGGAGTCTAGCGCAGGCCCGGCGCATCGCGACCGAGCCCCGGGAGGGAGGGCGGCTCGGGGCAGCGGCGCCTGGTTCCCCCGCACTGACTGCCTGGGCTGGGACTGGGGCTTCGCAGACCCCCCAGTGTCGACATGCTGCTGGAGGAAGTCCGCGCCGGTGACCGGCTGAGTGGCGCCGCGGCCCGGGGCGACGTGCAGGAGGTGCGCCGCCTTCTGCACCGCGAGCTGGTGCACCCCGACGCCCTGAACCGCTTCGGCAAGACGGCGCTGCAGGTGAGGCCCGGCCTGCCGGGCGAAGGTGGGGTAGGGGAGTCAGGCGAGGACTGGGACCCCAGACCCCTTCCCTCTCATCTCCTGGGCCCCGCTGGTGATTCCCCCCCACCTCGGGCGCCAGTCTTCCTTCTTTGAGCTGTTGTCCCCCACGGTCCCCTGGGGTGCGTGGTGGGTGAAGGTAGGGTGGGGGAGGGGAGGGCTTTTCATCTTCCCTGAAGGATTCTCGTTCTAGGCAGAGCGGTTCTTGCTCCACGGGTGAGGACTCAGCTTCTTTGTCTCAGTTCCATGGGGACAGTTCAGGTTTCTTGAGACCCGATCTCTGGAAGGAGGGATTCATGTCTCCCCAGGGGAGATCCCATTTTCTGGGGAGCTGCTGAAAGCCATCTGGTTTCTTGGGAGGGGTCCTTCATTCCTGGGGGCTGAGCGGATTCTTAGCATCTTCTGGGTGCCCCGATAGAAGAACGCTGTTATATCAAATAAGGTCTCTATCTTGGGGGGGGGACATTTTGCTGCAGAGCCCCCACTTCTTGGAGGAGGTGACTAGGAATCCTGAGGAGTCTTCTCCCTGGGCAGAGGGGCTCCAGGTTCCCCTGGGCAGTCCTTTCCCTTGAGGGGCCTGTCAAATTCTCTGGTGTCCATTCTCAGTGTCTGGCGGGGGGGGGGGTTATATTTTCTGTAGACTTCTTCTATACTGGGGAGGGTCTCTGGTTCTTTGAGGGAGGTTCTCAGGTCCTTGAAAGTTCCTAGTAGAACTTGTTCTCTGGGACCCCCAACAACCTCCCAGGGGCTTGCCTTCCTGGGGTGTCTCCATTGTCTAGTTGACCTCTTCTCTGGCGTTTTCTATTCCTGGAGGACCGTCTTTCTGGACGAGCCTCCTCTCCAGTGACTCTTTTCTAGACCCCCTTCCTTGAGGACCTCCTGACCCTCTGTCCACACATAGGTCATGATGTTTGGAAGCCCCACCATCGCCTTGGAACTTCTGAAGCAAGGTGCCAGCCCCAATGTCCAGGACGACTCTGGTACCAGTCCCATCCATGACGCAGCCCGCACCGGGTTCCTGGACACCCTGAAGGTCCTTGTGGAGCATGGTGCGGATGTCAACGCTCCTGATGGCACAGGAGCGCTGCCCATCCATCTGGCGGTGCGGGAGGGCCACAGCGCTGTGGTCAGCTTCCTGGCTTCTGAGTCTGACCTCCATCACAGGGACGCCAGCGGGCTCACACCCCTGGAGCTGGCGAGGCAGAGAGGGGCTCAGGACCTCTTGGACATCCTGCAGGGGCACACAGTAATCCCGCTGTGACCCAGGGCCACCCTTTCGATCAAGAGTGGGTTCTATATCAGAAGAGGAGGAAAGAAACACTTTCTCTTCTCCTCCTCTCATTGCAGAAGGGAGGAGGAGGAGCTGTTTGTGGCTTATTGGTGTTGATTTCTGGGGTGCGTGTGTTTGGGGGACGTTTCTCGTTTGTTTTTCTCACTCCTTTCGGTGTGTTGGACAGAGAAGGGCTCCTACAGGCTACAGCTGCCTAAACGGTTCAGTTTCTCCTGCACCCCAGGCTGTTGGGGCGTCAGATTAGACTCAAGGGCAGAGCGTTTAAAGCCCCAGTCCCAGAGTGAGGTCATCACCTCCAGGGCTCCTGGAACCTGGTGACCTTGGTCGGCTGTGGAGATAGGGAGCCCTGAAGTGTGTGCCCTGCTTCGGGCATGGGGGGAGGGGGAAGTGTTTCAAATCAATAAAAGAGTAGCATGAGTTCATTCATATTTTGTTGGAAGATCTTTCCAGTCTCTTGTACAGCGTTTAAAAAAAAGAGATTCTATTTATTAAGCTTTATGGAAAAAATTGTTGTGTGTGATAATTTAATGTTTTTACCCATTAAATTAAGACTTAAGCATGATCACTGCGCGGGTGGCTTCTGATTTGTGAATCTGGGATGAGGCATCGCGTGTCCAGGACGTTGGTGGGGGTTGAGCATTGGGGGGTCTCCGATCGTGGATGCTGGGAGGGAGCGGACAGATGGCCATTCCCAGGGCGCCAGGGTGAGCGAGCTGGGTGGGGCAGCGGTTGGCTCTGTCGGAACGGAAGGGAGGCAGGAAACCGCGAGTGGAGAAAAGGGCCCCCAGATGTCAGCTGGGTGCCGGGAGCCCCGAGGGTGGGGAGGGTGGGCGGTGGCTGCTGCCTTCCCCGCAGGGGCGTGGCGTATGGGCGGGGACTGCGATCGAACGGCGAGCGGGATCCCGGAAGGACCGGGGACCGGGTCAGGCGCGGCTCCAGGCGTCTGGCACTGCCCCTTTTAAATCGTGACGTGGGCGTGGCAATGGAGGCCACGCCTCTTCGGGACTGCCAGGCGCATGCGCAGTGAGCCACGGAGCCGCCATGCCGGAACCGCGCGGATTGTCTCCTCTGAGAGTGAACGCGGCCTTCGCCGCCCGGTACAGCCGCTACCGGGAGCGCGAGGAGCTGCAGCGCTGTGAGTGCGGGGCGCAGCGCAGGAAGGGTCGTCGGGAAGTGGGGGGGATTTATATGGCCCCCAGGCTGATCCTGGGGGCATCTGCTCTGTGCCCCACAGTGAAGGATCGCTATGGGGACCGTGGCGGCGACTCCAGCTCCGAGTCTGACTCCAGCGAGGAGCGCGTGGTGCGCTTCCCGCCCCGTCCCGGACGTGCACAGGCGCCCCGGCCTCCCCTCGCACCCCGACCCGGATGTACAGGGGGCGGCTCACTCCCATCCCCCCTGCGCCCTAAATAAACGAGCATCCGAACCCCGACCCCAATCGAGAGACAGCAGTCGCCAGACCCCCTCCCCTACTTTCCTCTCCCTGCCACGGATCTTCCTGACCATCCTGATGGGTGGGGCGACCCCTCTGACCCCCTTCCAACCTCCTTACCCCCAAAAGTCCATCCCCACTTTTCAGGGTAGTATTCCGTAGATCACATGGGGTGCCCAGCATCTTCCCACATCAGCTCGTCGCCCCACTGTGCAGCCTGGCCCTTACCCGCTGTCCCCCCAAGTGCGACCATAGCCCACCTACTTCAGGAAGCAACTCCCCTTGCCCCCTACCTTCCTTTGTCTGTATCTTGTACCGAGCAGCCCCTGCCCAGCCCCAAGCGGGTCCCTCCCACTCAGACCAAGCCCCTACCTGCTTGACTTCAGCCAGAGAAACCCTGGTCCTTCACTACACCCAGTCCCTACACCCTCTGGGTCATCTGTCCCTGCTGCATTCCCCATTACCAGCTCCTACCCAGGCTGTCTCTACCCCCTTCTTTCCCCCCTTCTAAAGTTGGCCTCGCACCTTTTCCTGCCCTAGGAATTTGACCCCCAGCAGGATCGAGACTTTTACAGGACACTGTCCTTGTTGAAGAAGAAGGACCCTCGCATTTATCAGAAAGATGTCACTTTCTATCAGAGAACAGGTGTGTGTGTGTGGTCCTGCTTCTTCAAGTGCCTTACAGGTTGTTGTGCCTACTGAACAAATTGTTTAACATACAGCAGGCTTAGCAGGGTGTTTTAGGGTATTACTTGCTGGTGGTGTCCATAATGACTACAGATGACTTAAGATGGGGTTACAGCCAGACATGGTGGCTCATGCCTGTAAACCTAGCTACTTGGGAGGCTTAGATCAGGAGGATGTAAGGTTTGAGGCCAACCTGAGCAAATAATTTGTGAGACTCCCCATCTCCAAAAAGTAGATGGGTTTACATTCTCCAGTCATCATAAGTCAAAACTGTAATAAGTTGGAAATGCATTTAATACTCTGATAAACCCATCATAAAGTCAAAAGATCATGTTGAGCTGTCCCAAGTCAGGTACCATCTACATGTTTTTGGGACTATTCTAAGTGCGAGTCACTGAGCAAATGGATCGCAGCCCCATCAGGAAGTGCAAGAAGGATACAGTTGAAGTGGATTGGGCATTTGAAATCTCTCTCCACTGGGAGCCCTGCCCTGGGGGCTGCCAGGTGAAGAGGGAGGTTGTGGGTGGTGACACGTATCTTCTCTCTGGCCCACAGCATCCTCCTCTTCCTCGGAGAGCGAGGAGGAGCCAGCAGCCTCCGAGAAACAGAAGAAAGTGCAGACCATGTACTTGAAAGACTATGAGAGGAAGGTCATCTTGGAGAAGGAAGGGTAAGGGGGAAATCCGTGTTCCCACCCTCAGTCCTCAGCCTTCCTAGGACCTTGAGGACCTCAGGGTTAGAGGTGAAAAAGCCCAAGATTCCACAGCATCAAGGGAACCCCTGAGAGCAGGAACCTCAATGACGTCCCACACTCCCAGGTCCCCTTCCTGACCAGGTGCTTGTGACAGTACCCCACACCATTAGGACAGGCAGGCCATAAAAGTATAAAAATGGACTTATATCTTGATAAACCCATTGTGAATAGAAAATACAATAGATTGAAAATGCGTTTCCTGTCAGATAAACTCATTGTAAAGTCTAGGCACCATAAACTGAGCTATTGTGAATTAGGCACCGTACTTTAAAACCCCATCCTTCCCTGTACAGCAAGTACGTCGATGAAGACAACTCAGATGGAGAGACCGTCGATCAGAGACTCAAGGTGGGTGGGGTGAAGGCGGGGTGGGGGCTGAGGGGCCCAGGGCTGGCCTGAGGCCCACATTAGTCCTTCCTCCACAGCAAACGTCATCACAGAGTTACATGGAAGAACAGAAGCAGCTCAAGGAAAGGTGAGCCTGGGCCTGGGTGAGGGTAGGCGTTCACCCTGGGGGTCCCGGGCACAGGATTTGTGATGAAAGAAAGCTCTCACTTGCTCTCTGTGTGCCTCTGCTTCCTCATCTATTAAATGGGTTGAGCATCACAGTGCTCCTCTCAGCTTGGTGAATGGAGAGCCCAGGGTTTAGTAACCAGGCTTTGTATCTGAACTGTTTATTTATTTATTATTGGCAGTACTGGGAACTGAACTTAGGGCTTCATGCTTGTTAGGCAGATACTCTACCACTTGAGCCACTCTGCAAGCCACCACCCATTTTTTTGGGTGGGATCGGGATTTGAACTCAGGGCTTTGCACTTGAAAAGCAGGTGCTCTATCACTTGAGCCAAACCTCTGGTCCATTTTGCTGTGATTATTTTGGAGATGGGGGTCTCGTGAAATATTTGTCTGGGCTGGCCTCGAACCTCAATCTTCCCAGTCTCAGCCTACCAAGAAGCTATGATTACAGGCATGCACCCCCCGGCTCTGACAGTGGTTTTGTGTCATGAGCAGCTTCCGAGCCTTTGTGGAGGACAGTGAGGACGAGGACAGTGCTGGGGAAGGTGGTTCCGGGTTGCTGCAGAAACACACTAAAACCAGGGAGGAGAAGGTGGGTACTGGGGCCCAAATGGACTGCCTGGCAGGCAGCTGGGGCTTTCACAGACCCTCAATAATGGTGTTCCTCAGGCCCAGGAGGAGGCTGACTACGTTGAGTGGCTAAAGGGACAGAAGCAAATTCAAAACCCCGAGTCCATGAAGGAACTGGTAAGTGTCACTTACAGTCCCTGATGGCTCAAATTGCCTGGTCTGCTTCCATCCATCCACTTTCTAGAAAGCCACCCTTAAGCGTACTGCCA